TTTATTTAAAAATACCTACAAGTGAAGATAAACCAATTTCTTTATGGGCCTTATGTCATTAAAAAACCTTTTAATGTGACGTATATGTACCTACCTAGCTGATGAATTTTAAAGTAACTTTTAAATGAACAAAGTACTCAGAATAAATGTCAAGAACGAAATTCCGCACTTTAATATTACTTCAGTAGCTTTAAGACAAATAAAGATAAAATCTAAAAAGTCCAGTAGAAGGTTGTTTTAGTATTTTAGAGGACAAAGAACGCTAGTGTCTCCACGTCTCAACCACGTCCCAAAAGAATTCATCGCTGTCTCTTATCGAATTCCAACATCTCTGTACGTAGGTAGAGCTACTACCAACTTTGCGAAATTTGATTCTTTTTCAGCTGTCATCTATCCGAACATCTCATGGACTTTTGGTTTTTTACCAACCCTCGGATGCAAAAAATACGTCAAAGTTTTCCCCGAGATACAATCGCCAATATTGAAAATATAAAATGAACATTTGTCCCGCAAAACTTTTTATATATTAATTTTTGCGACTTTTAATGGGAGCAAAGAAACTCAAAAGTGAAATTGAATTTAAGATCCCTTGACAGATGTTACGCCGAACCTCACAATTATTCTTCACGAATTGTCAATTTAAACGTTACACTATACAAATGTTGGTACATTACATATGCATAGTATAATCCCCAAAACACCGCGAACCTTGATTAAAAACGGAGGCAGCCCTTCAGGAGTGAGATCCAACAATAATTCATAAGTTTTAGCTAGAAAAGGGATCGTTTATAAAGACGGTGTCATTGTTTTAGGCCGACGTCGCGATCCTCGCCCGACTCGCTCCATTAATAATGTAGGGTGACAACGACGCAGGTGCGGCCCGCTCCGCGCCGATAAACGTCCCGATGCATAATTGAAGTCGTGTACCTAACGTAGCACTTACGTGACTCCTTCTATCTTCTAAGCGTAACATCAACTAAAGCACGTGTAATAGATGGTTTTCTAATACCACGACCGACACTTTATAAAAGTATGTTTTTGCTAAGCTGTTTACAAACCTCAAGCTCACGGTAAATGTACACGGATCAAATGTCGCGAAAATACTTTTCTATTTCAAAGAAATTTCCTTTGAAGTACAATTTTTCTTTGACACATTCGTTTGGTAACCCACAAATGCGGGCCATAATTTTACGGTTTCAATTCAGCAAGTAAAATTACATTTGCAATAACCGTAGCTAATCTTGTTGAAACAATTTTACCATAAGACGAATATAATAAGCAATTAACTGCATTCATTAAAAGACGAAGAGGTTCAGTGGGTTACCCTATTTTTTAAAGCGACTTTCGACCTCTTCTAACGCGTAGTGACCTGTGACCTCAGCGCCACGTGGCCTGTTCACCCCTCGACTTGAATGTCAGACTCAACTTGACCCTTATTTGTTGGCTTCCAAAAATCAGCATTTTTAATTTTTCACACGACTTCTTACAATGGATTTGAGTTATTCTGACACACTCCGCTTCTTCGTGTATTGTTTAAGATACAGATGTTTTACATAAAAACTATACGGAGAAGCTGATTTATTATGAAACTTTATAATTCACATTTTAAAAGATAAGACATTATTGATAAACAATATAATAAAAGAAACACAATTTCAAAAGAAGTTTATTATACCAAGTAAATCACAGGTATCGGTACAGAAACGTACTTTGATGTGTCTGTAGTGGATTCAACGGGACGGCTTGCATAAAAAAAACTTCAGCAAAATTTTATAGTAATTCTGAGAGATAATATTTTGGCTTGGAAAACACCTGAAGTGGATACCACATTTTTCAGAACCAGTTCTAAGCGAATGCCTGAGTATATTTCACTTTATCCTAGCAAGACTAAAACCGTTTACTTCAAAAATGTCACCTCCATTATAAAAACCAGCGTTCTAAAAACATGCTTCACTTTATTTCGTAATAGAATAAAATTAATATTCTCACAAGAAAATAATAACGTTTTAGTTCAAATAGAGTATTCTATTAAGTATATGCAAATTGGTGTTCACACAAACTGTGGCCATTGTTATTCGTCTGGTCAGTTATCTCGATTCGCAAGCTTGGAAATTAATCGAGGGGTCATCTCTTCGATATCATCCCCATTCATTGTATCGTCATTTTGTGTTCGAATCCCATGAGATGAACATCATGGTTTCGTCGTATTAAATTCTGTCAAAATAATTTCTAACACCAGTGAATGGGTTAGGTGAATCAGTGCGTGGGATGTCTATCATTTGATTTAAGCGGTCGTGTGTGGTACAAATATGAACAATTGGATATCGGAACTATTTCAAACTCATACGTTTAGTAAGCCGACTAATAAGCCTGTATATAAGGTATGTTGTTAAAATTATTTTCTTATAAATTATACAACTGGGTCGTGGGTACGTTAACGTAGGTATGTATGATGTTCAATCACTACTTGTTTTTACTGCAGCTTCTGTCTATTATAGTAGAATTTCGCTCACCCATATTCGTATCTAAAAGATGAGAAAGAATAATCTCTACATCTTTTTTTGCTTTGTAACAGAATTGAGTGCCATTTGCGAACTGCGCAATAGTAACGAGAGAACGGTTCGGACCAAAAAAGCACAATTCTAGAGCCAACTGCAGTACGGATGATGTATAGCAAAAACGCTACAACCAGCTTCACAGAACATCTGCTCTCACCTCCACATTAACCTAACGAGCCAGCCCTAATGGCGCGTTAGGGCTGCTCCACGAAAAAAGCTTCAAATCAAATAAATTACACTCCCACGACCCACTTTTAACATGTGTCCTCTGTACCGTTATTAGTCACGTGACAAAAAGCGTTTATCTGCCCAAATGAAGACATAATACAGCGTTTTGTTTGTGCGTGCCAACCCTGACAACTGTGACGTCATTAGTGCGGGTCCCAATGTGTTTAGTTTAAGTGGTTGAATTCTAGTTTAGAGTTTTCGTGTATTTCGTATTCGTGGTAATAAAAGCAAGTGCTTGCAATATTAGTTTGTGAAGTTTTGCGTCATAACATTTTGTTGGCGATATTTGCGTGGCCTAGTAGACTGAAACACTTAGATTGTAATATTTTAATATTTTGGATTTGTACTGAACAGTTCAATTCAATTTCTAAAAAATAAACAGATATAAGAAAGCATGTTGAAATTGTTCAACCCTGGTGAATATACGTAGTCATTCGTCTATCGTGGCTTTAATTTTTGTTATGTCTACCCTTTATAACAAAAAAATGTCGTTTCAATTGAAATAAAAGGCATTCCTTTATATTTATGCGACATTTTTCTGTCTCATTGGATTAATTCAGGTTATTGTGTTTTCGTTGTGAATATTTGTCGTTCTTGAAGTATGTCAGTTATCGTTAAATTGCCTCAGTATAATAATATGTTTTAGTGGGAAATGGCGTTATTATTATTACAATGTCTTCGTTTGAAACTTTATGTTTTCTATTTATAGGTGTAATGTATTAGGGATGTCAGTTTGCACAAATGATTACTTTTTTTAATATTGCAATTCTTTAATTTATATTACTTCATATTAAAGATAAAGCTAGCCACTATTATTATATTTAATCCAATACCTTTGAACATACACCAGAAAATAACTTATTATAAACAACATCAAATAAAAATTGAAATTATACATCAAAGTCTATGTTTAGTTTTAAACAATGGCGGTACATCGATGTCTAACGAGACGTCTGAGTAATAACCTTAAGCTATATGTAACTCAAATTCATTTTATAAATAATAACTTAATAAGTATTCTCTTTAATCCCACTTATATTAATTGATTCTAGTTTAGCACAATCACAATAAATACCTTCTTTATAATTAGTCGTTCGTATTACGGATATTCATTAAGCTTGCTCATTGAATTATGAAACAATATTCACTAATACAATTAGTAATTGATTTCATTGAAGATTCAATTGAAACTTTAAGCTTCTATTAAAACTTACAGTTGGTTTTCATCGTGTGAAGTTCATAAAATAATGATATTAACTATTTATTGGCTTTAGATTATTAACTTAAGTTCTTATTCTCGGATGGTTTGCTAAAATGCTTATACAATATTCTTACAATAATGTATGTAATGTATATCGTGACAAACTCATATGTTATCTCACTTGACTTGGTACGTTTTAAGTTAATGCAATAAGGCTTCACGACTTTTAAGGGAATAAGTCGTTGAACAATCATCTACCCACACCTGCTGTAACTGCGCCAGGGGTATCGTTCAAGTATTATTGCTTGCAAGACGACAATTGCGCCGGAAAGTTTCGGGTGCCAACCCTAACCCGTAATGCCATTAAGCTTCCTCACCTTCTGTTTCACTCAAATTGGGTTCTACTTAAACATTTGAGCTATTTTCGAATGGTTATTTACCTAAGGCCCTCTCTCCCTTTCCCCACGATAAACAATAAACATTGTTGTACGATCGTGTTGTTTTATGTTTGCAAAAATATCGTACCGTAATCGCACTTGTAACTGCGCGTGTAGAACAAACTCGAATGCTAATGTTCGTAAATAGAATAATTCCGACATTAAAACATTTTATCAGATATAATTTACGAGTTGGCGCGCGACGCGTCGGACGCCAACGCGGTGCTACGACGGAAATCCGCAACTAATTAAAATTCTACGTGAATGAATAACTGCACTGCGCTCCCGTTGCGCTTTGTAGGAAAAATCCGCAAATAAATATTACCATACCAGGCATTATTCACTATTAACGTTATAACCAACGCAAACTTTCCGCTATTTACGACTTCGGATTGACCTATAATTACCAATTTCCTTTTAACCGTCGGGGATTACGCAGAGTCCATCAGAATCCATTAATTAACTCAGAATATTAACGAGTTACTGAAGATTGAAAGTTTATACCTTAAAATTACGAAGTACGTAATAGATTTGAAAGTCGTTTGAACTTTTCAAAAGGCATCGTTAATTTCACAGACACATGGCAGTCAGAAAGCTGGCAGTGGAGCAGCCCGATCCGGTGACAATAAGCCAGTAGAATGCAACCTCTGTCATCGCAGGTTTAAAAATATACCGGCGCTGAACGGACATATGCGACTTCATGGCGGATACTTTAAGAAGGTAACGATTTTATTTCCTATGATACTCCAATTAAATCTTTCCTCTTAGTAATATTGACATGCAAAAACCCTAACTTTATTCCAAATGTAATACCTAAGAATAGGGTATAGAGACTTACGTCATTACTATAATCTATTTCAGGACTCCGACAACAAAAAACTAGACAAGAAAGAATCTACGGGACCACCATTACAAACGGCTTCGGTATCTGTTCGGGCGCTTATTGAAGAAAAGATCATAAGTCGTCGAGGAGCTACTGTAGCTTCTACACCGTCTACAGGTACATACATCTACATCTATACCTCAACAAATTTTAAACCATCGAATACTTTATCATTGAAAGATCTGATGAATATTTTACTATTGTTGCTGCTCACAGGTACTACCACAGACTCAGTGTCATCTCGTGCAGGATTTGTGGCTCCTGCTCCCCCACCATTGTCTAACATCAGACAACCAACGTCCCCAGTCGCAACATCTTCGCATTTCGTCTCTCCTCGAGCACCTCCCGTCGTTACCGTCGCTTCAAACGCTCTGACCAACATTTGCGCCGCGCAAAGAGAATCTACACTAATAGAACTATTAAAAAAGGGGAACATTAAGGTAAAAATATAAACACCGTAACTATTTTAGCATCGCAAGTTTTATAAACTTTAACTAATCCCAATAATGTTTACTTAACAGGCTGTAAAGCGGTCGGCATCAGACCCAGGCCAAACGTCACCGCAGCAGCAAGACTTCAGTTTCCGGCCAGAATTGTTTGGAATATCATTCAATTCAGATGATGGATACTTTTCACCAGCACTTAATGAAGACACGTTCCAATTTACTACAACGCACGACCAATTAGAGGAATTAGCCTCATTGGAAGATTATGCAACTGTAGCGGCCTCTATAAGAGAACGATCCCCTGTAACGTTTCCATCCAACCGACGGCTCGCAGCGGTCCTCAATTCACCTCTACCAGAATCTCTCGCTGACTTCGGTGCTTGCCATGGAGGATCACCGGTTCCGTCACCTGGAATGGGATACAGTGCCAATTCACCCGGTCTTTCTTATTCTACTGGAGGATCCCCAGGATTGTCCTTTACGGCCGCGTCACCAAGTAGTTACTCAAACCATGCCGAGCCTTCACCGGGCATGGCTTACCCAACACCTCCTGCGTCACACGATGCTCACTCGCCAGGGAACACTGCTCCTCGGGCATCCTCACCTCTTTCAGCTGCCTTTTTCACTGCCACTATGTCTAGTCACGAAGAGGTGAGTGCCATTGCTAAATAATTTACGATTTTATCACAAGACTTCAATAATCATGTTCGTTATTTTTTACAGGTTGAGGAAGCTTTAGAAGAAGTGTTACCAGAAGAGTGTCGATCGTTAGATGCGTACGCATTGGAACCGTCGCCAGCTCCGCGTCGTATTATGTTAAATTCAGAGGATCCTCTCCTTTCAAGCAGTCCACGAGACTTTGCACACCAGCGGCCGTTCCGTCGACAGAGTCGTGTGGGATCGTCTACTATATCACCATTACAGCAATGGCAACACGACTCACTTCAAGTAAGGACCTATTAATGATCCTCCAACAATAGGGTACATGCCTAATTTTTTTTTTTTTTTTTTAATGTCCGTCTGGTAGATTATTTTAAATCATTATACACGTATTTTTTATTTTCTTACAGAAACGAATACTTTCGACGATATGTAGATTTGAAATGTCGCGTGACGTCACTTCTATGTACATTTTATTGGGCTCGCTGCCATTGCAGCGGTAAGTCCCCTCTTTGAGGAGTGGCTTGAGAGACGCTACGGCGTCCTCACCTACCGCCTGACGCAGGTCCTCACCGGACATGGAAGTTTCGGGAGGTACCTGTGTCTGATGGGGCGGGAGGAAGCGCCCGGGTGTCATCACTGCGAGGACCGCCCTGAGGACACGGTGGAACACACCGTAGCGGAATGCCCTGCGTGGGCTGAGCACCGCCGTGCCCTCAGGGAAGTGATCGGCGATGGCGACCTCTCGCGTCCGGGCCTAGTGCAGGCCATGATGCGGAGCGAGGGGGACTGGGATGCCGTCTCCTCCTTTTGCGAAGCAGTCATGCTAGCTAAGGAGGAGGCGGGACGCGTGAGGCAGCGAAGCGCTGCCTCCTCGCGACCCAGCCATCGCGAAGGACACACCGGGCGTCGGGGATCGCGGGACGATCTCCGGCCACCGTAAGCGCAGGCCTGCGGACGGCGAGCATGGGTGGCTCCCCGTCCGACCAGAAACAGACCCGAGCGTACGGCGCGTCGCGTTCCGCGCGCGCCTCAAAGAGCCATCAGACCACCAAAGATGGGGCCCAATAGGGCCGATGCCGATTCGGAGTCGCGGAGAACCTAACGGGTAACCGGGGCTCCGGCTCGACGTGCAGGAGAAGGAACGGGGTGGTTTTTAGTCAGTAAGAGTCTGACACTCCCTTCCGCCTCACCCAGGCGGGAGCAGTCATTCGATGATTTTCCCCCCTTAAAAAAAAAAAAAAAAAAAATGTACATTTTATACGTAGAAATGACGTTTTAGCCCCCACTTCTAAACTTTGATTCGTTTTATCTAAGTATTGTTTATTATACGACAAAATAAATAAATACGTGTCTAATATTTTTTCATTACCTAACTTACGGACTAATTATATTTCTAATTTTCATACCCTGTCAGCATCCCAATAGTTATGTTACTTTTTCAAGATTTAACACAAACTTTAATATTTTCTCAGGTGTGTGTGGAGGGTCGGGATACAGTTCCAGCAGTATTTTTGAGTCCAAGTAGTGTGCCTGCGTCGCCTCAAAGACGCAAACGTCGAGCTTCCCCGGCTGGTCCGTTCCGATCTCGTATACGTCGTACTTCTAGTCACTACATACCTCCTCCTATACTGCCTCCGGATCGAGACGGGTCAGGACTGCTAATAGAATGTACTGCAGGTAACTAAATACTTTCCTTTACATGATTTGTCTCTCAAATGGCAAGGGAATGTTGTTATTTTTATTGGGACAAGTCCGCTACAACCTCTCAAAACTTCAGTAGATACAACCATAAAAATACTGGAACATTAAAGCCCGGCGCGTCGCAGATACGTGAACTGTCTTGGATCAAGGGAATGTTTAAAATTTAAGGATTTTTGCAATCACCATCGCGACCTACGTACGTGGAGGCTACTAGACTACGGCTAAACCCTCTTTTATAGATCTAGTTCATAGTCCACAATTAACAAGCTCTCAAGGGTTATTGATATTAATCATTTTTCTAATGTTATTATTTTTGTCAGGTACAGCAACTTCGCAAACCGATGTTCTCTCTCAACTGGACGAGCCTCGACCGCCACAGATCAATATAGGACGAGACTTCCAAGCTGAACTGCCGGCTCTATGTAATGATCGCATAGATCTACATCGAGTACCAGAACAGCTGTTATGGGACCCAGGCATCAACGATGCCCTAGATGATAATGAAGGTAAGGATGATTTCTGTATTAAAAGTGAAAGTAAATGTAAAAAAGCGAAATAACCAATTACTAACCCTGAGAATATAATAACAAATAAAAAACAATAGATATAATAAAGATACTGTTCAATATGAGTCCTTAATGTACTTTGAAACTAGTCGGATGCTACGTTAAATATTTAAATTAATAAGCTGTACACGTAATAATTGAGGATGTTTTTAGTTCAACATTTTCTGGCCGATGATGACGACGATATTGATAATGACAATTATTCATTTGTCAGACTTCTGAAAATTTGTCTCGATGACAGTGATGTGAAAAAATGATCATCATCAACAGCCTATAAATGTCCACTGCTGACCAAAGGCCTCTTCTCGCACGGAGAAGATTTGAGCATTAATTACCACGCTTGCTAAATGCGGGTTGGCAATGTCAAACTTATAATTAGAAAATATAGGCCTAGGTTTTCTATCAATGATTTTCTTCACTGTTTGTCAGTGATGTCTAAATAATCTTACTAATGCCAGTATCTAAAAAAGTAGCCTGTACAAAGACACATATTTTGCTATGTTTTTTAGGCATAAATTGAAGTACTGCGTTTGAGAAAGTAGTTAGTTGTGTATATTGACTGCACGGTTGGTGCGGTGGCTGGGCAACCGGCTGCCGTGTAACGTGTCGCGGGTTCGATTCCCGCACGGAACAAAACTTTGTGTGATCCACAAGTTGTTGTTTCGGATCATGGTGTCATGTGTATTTGAACTTGTATGTTTGTAAACGCACCCATGACACAGGAGAAAATCCCAGTGTGGGGCAACGTTTTAAAAAAAAATTGGTTGCCTGTAAAGTCGATATACGGGCGAAAGTTTTACGTGACAACGACTTTGAGTGGTAATTTATGTCGGTCTCTCTCGCTCTTAGGCGGGCTAACCATGCCCGAGTGGAAGGGACGCGTGCCTCTCACTCGCTCTCATTGTGAGCGCATAACGTGAGCGGAGCGTAACGCAACTTCTTGAAGTGTCACCCGGCAAACCAATTAATAAGACGTTGTCACGTCAAAAATAGTCGTGTAAGAGGGTGGTGTGTGTGTGTGTGTGCAGTGCGTATGTTCACGGAGCTGGCGATGTGCGCGGCGATGCCGGTGGGCGGGCACAGCCGCGAGTTCGCGCTGCAGACGCTGGGCGAGTGCGGCGGCGACGTGCGCGCCGCCACGCTGCGCCTCATGTCGCGCGCCGACTCGCCCGCGCACACGCACGCGCGCTGGGCGCCGCACGAGGTCGAGGCCTTCCTCGCCGGCCTCGGACACTACGATAAGGATTTCTACCGGATTTCGCAACTGGTTAGCATTCACATTCAATCATTTTCATGTAATAACATGGGACTCATAACAGAACACTAATTAATACAATGGTACAGTGGCATTAAGTGCCGTAATGAGCACCTCTGACTACCCCTTCGGGGTGAAAAGGCGTGATATGTTATGTTAAATTTAATTCATATATATTTTAAAACAGGCAACTTTTATTCAGCTCAAGATTTCAGGCAATCTAAACACGATATACAAAATTTCAGCTCAATCAATATTATTATTCCATGCATATATATACCATATATACCAGATGGTAAGCAACCAGTCCATAGATACCCGAACAACCAGAGGTTTTGCAAGTTTGTTGCCAGCCTTTTGGGGATCAGAAATTTAAGGGTTGTGAAGTTGAGCACTGAGAAGAAGTATACGGCCTCCAGTACCCTCACTCACGCGCAATGGCATGCATCAATTACCTACTAATTTAAATCATACATTTCTCCACAGATAAGAACAAAAGACTCAAAACAATGTATACAATTCTACTACTTCTGGAAGAAGCTCACTAAAGATTACAAACTGCTGTACCTGCGGAGCTGGGCGATGGATCAGCAGGTGTCATCACAAGTAAGCACCGCCATTCACTCTGGACTCCAACATTTCCTCTTCCGGCTTTCTGATGAGTGAACAACGAATTGACGGAATCTTAATACACGCGACTTATCCACATCCAGGGCTCTGTAGGGCAGATATCCGCGACAATCGCCACGTCGTGCACAGCTCCGACATCGAACTTCGATACCGAGGAGTTCCCCTGCAAGATATGCGGGAAGTAAGTTCCGAGACGCGGATCACGTCACACGTCTGCATACCGCTTTATATCGACTACACAGCGAACTGCGCAAACGCAATTTACGTGGAACAAACGAACTTCCTGAAACTGTAACTCGTGCCAAACGTATCTATGGATATTCTTATTCACTTTTACATGTACATTTATACACTAACCACGTTACGTTTCACCTAAATTGCCTTTCGTGCATGCATTACGTATAAAGAAAATATTTACAGCTTCATAGTAACTAACTGAATGGGGAGCACTATGTGGAAATTAAGGTTCACGACAGAAGTACGGCTCAGTGCGTACGCCACTAGTTTTGTAATATCGTAAATCGACGACGTATGAGCCGTGCGACAGTCGACAGTCGACAGTACAACCAGTCTCTGCTAACTCACTGATGGTCATTACGTCACGATGTTCGCCGACCTTCGTCTTTTAAACTAATTATATTATTTATTTGTACTATATCTATATATCTATTCATTATAGAAAATGTCTAAGGGCGTACTTTGCCAAAAAATGTACTTGTGCCAAGCATCCACGGTGCCTAATCTCGGAAGCACGTAATCTTCATTGGATACTATTAAGAAATATATTTTGTTAGAGTAAAATTAGCAAATGCCACGAGAGTGTTGTGTACTATTTATACTGTATCTTGCGTGCCATTAAACTGCTGTTATACAAATTCAAACGTTAAACGAGTAGTTGTATGATAAGGCTACAATGAATACATTTATATTGTTTCACAGCGATTCATGTAAATATTATTATTATAATGTATTTTCATTGTATTTTAAGACAGTGATTTATATGTCCATTGCATAAGAGGTTGAAATCTTATTTATTTATTATTATCGTACTTGTCGTAGGATTAATATTTAAAGGGTTTTGTGTATTAATGTTGTATGTATATAAGTTGTGTCTAATACTAACGCTTCACGCTTGCTTTATCTGCATTGCGCTTTAAGTTTAAACACTTTCGTTTTTCTTTCGCTTCTCTGTTTATGTTTCTTGTGTTGCTATTTCTAATAGTGTACCCTGTTATGTTTCAGAGTATTTAACAAAGTAAAAAGTCGTAGCGCACACATGAAGTCGCACCGGCCACTCGACGCCGAGCCAAAACGGCCAAAACTCGAAAAGCCTTATGAAAAGGTCGAAAGATCCGATGACAGATCCCACGCGACAGCTGAATACCAAAGCAAACCGCCCGCGTCCGCGCCCGCTCCCGCTCCCGCTCCCGCGCCCGCCCCTTCCCCCGCGCCCGCGGCCGCTCCCACTCACTGTCCCCCGCAATAGTAACCGCCCGCACTCGCACCGCCACTCCCTCAGCGACTCGCTCGGACTCGGACTAAATGCTGACTCGCAAGCATTTATTATTATAAACATTATATATTATTATAGAATTAATTCAAAGTGACCTAGAAAGAGCGACGTAGAATCTAGTAGCTAGACGAGAATTCGCTTTGGACAAATACCTATTTAAAAAGTAATCTTTCGGAATTGTCGTAACTCGTAACTCGTAACGCTAAGCTTCGGAGAGAGCGCATAAAGATATTTTGTATAACGATTGATACATGAATAGATAGCTCTTGGTAAAGTTTTTATATGACAGACTTCTCAATGTGACTTGCAAGTGTGATGTTGTAAATATTGTAGATGAGTAGTTGGTTGTATCGCCACGGATACGTCGAGCGGTCGAGCCGCGAGTTACAGCTGTACGCGATGTACAGAGCACGTGTGATACATAGATCGTGTAGTAACTACACTACCTCGTTTCTATTCAATGTTCCGTTCGGTCGCGAGCCCAGCTCGTTGTTACATTTGCTTGTTTGCTCATTATTTTGTTAATTTTCTAGTAATTCGTTTCTATTTATTTTTCTAGTCGTATTAGACAATTTTATGTTGAATGCACTATGGATTTCATTGTAGTTAGTGTAATTAAGAGAACGGAATTCAATTCAGCATCCGTACCTACTAGTCACATATCGATGTTGATTCAACACTTAGACGAAATGTTCACACGAATAGACTAGTTGAGTCCGTGAGTCGACAGTCGCAGTCGACTGGGAGCCCCATGGTTGATACTTTAGATTGATCGTAACTAAACAATGAATTGATGTCCGTCACTACTTAGATGTAACTTATATTATATTATTGTATACTTACTTAGTACTCGCTCCCACTTGACGCCGAGCCGCTCACGGACGCGACAAAATGGAGGGATAATATTTTTTTACACAAATATTATTGAATGCTCAAACGTGCTATATTTTATGTTGGTAATATTATTATTATCTAATCTAGTTCCTTGTTGATCGTTCAGAATTTGCCATTATTTGATACTTGACAAATGTATAGTTAATTTGTGATTACTTTCTATAAGGATGTGTTGTAAATGTGTCTACGTGTACCTACGTGTTGTGATATACCTTTGTATGTATGGTTTGTTTCATCGTGTTCTAACTATAATTTGATGGTACAAACCGGGCAATACCTGAACATTGTTGCTCAAACTGATTAGCGAATGTGTCACCGTAGCCTGGCACTCGGTATATACAACCTTCACATCAAGCTATCCCTTCTCCGAAGTGACAGTTTTCAACTCTATTCCGTTCGTGATAAAATTGAAAATCTAAACGAAGGCGTAGGGGCAGCTCGATGTGTCCCGTACATACTGCTCAGCTGCTCCCAAAGTTGACAAATTATTTTCAAATAACAAAATACTTCGTGGTTGTGATGTTTCTTAGTCTACTCTTTTATTGTCTTCCGATACTTCTAACTAAATTAATTTTGGGGCAGAATTCCTCGTAAAAGACATGTTGTAACAAATTAGTCTTGAATTTTATTTATCTACTGTTGTTAACGACTTCTTGTTTAGAGTAAAATTAACCAATAAATATTTATGATTGCGTGCAACGCGTGCTACACTCAGTATTATGGAAGTGGCTCTTAATATCTACATATATCGAAGAATATTTACGTCTGACTTTTTGTAGAACCACGTCTGTCCTGTATCGCGCTTATTGTGTCTACACTGAGAACTATTGATGCGGGACAATAAGCATTGATTTCAAAGATTTTTTATTAAATCAATATTAGAAAAATAACTAATATAGGTAGTTAATATGAAACTATAAAGACAAATGTTTCTCTATAAGTACAACGATATTACTGTTTGTGATAAATTATAGTACATAAGTAACTTTAATAATAGAAAGTCTTCAATGCATCAGTTCCGTATCAAAACTAATTCTCTATAGACATTAAATTCTCTAGAAACTAAATAGTTACCATTTATTTATTAAAAGATTCATCTCAAGACGTAATAACCGCGGTACTCCACAGACGTTAACCACACGACGCAGGTACAAAGACGTACTATTTACTTACTTATATCTACTTAGATAGAATATACTTTCGTTCTCCTTCCACGGGTACCTGACCAGAGTTCTGCCACACGACAACTACTTAATTATAATAATAATATTGTAACTTATTCATAAATCACTAACTTGCGTGATTATTTGGTTGTGTTTATCTATCTTAACAATTTAGACGAAATTTTCTAATAGTACGTGTTATTCTATATTTTCTAACTCGATGCCAATGTTCTGCCAAATTGTTAGTTAAAATTAGGTACAAACTAGAACGAAATATTACTAAGTGAACAAACTGCCTAAGTTAAATAGTCGCGTTTCATTTAGATTAAGGCAAGGCTTGTACTGAAACCCCAAACGTAAGGCTTTAGTGGCACAAACTAGTTTATGTTTCATGTAACAACTACTGTGGAACTAAGGACCGTTTGTGTTACATCTGAGACCGCCTCGTATCTTGTAGACCGCAGATCGATCGTTCTTTTCACATTAGGAGAGTACACAGTTATTTTCTTATAAAAAAAAGTAAGTCATACAAAACGAATGTGTAAATACTGAATATTTTTCCAAAGTACACTATACCGGAGATAGTTCTACGTCGTACTCGTAATACAATTTATTAATGACAAGTCCCTCCAGAAATATTTTTAACAATACTCTAGCCGTTAAGACTGAAAGGTACTTTCTAAATTCACGTTAAATTCGTTTATTTCGCGTAAATGGACCGACAGCTTTTCCTTTCTCTGTATAATAACTGTGCGTAGTGTAGTCCAGTCGTGTCGTCACTAACCCATTCCATGCCCATTCATACTAGTCAGGGTATAGCTTTGTAATGATGCCCAACTTTAACCAAAGTAACGTAGCGTAGCGCGCCCGCTGCGAGCGCCCCCTAGCGGTCAGTAGGAAACGTCGCTGTATTCTAATAGAAATATGCACTCACCTAAGTATTAAAATTAACTTAAGATTGACGATTTAAACAAAACTTATTTCAACTTAAATATAGAAGTGCCTTACAATTTTAATTTTTATACTATTTTCTTAATTTATATTCGTTTTAATATCTAAAAGCACTGGAAATTGCATTTATTGATCCGCTGTCCGTTCTGCTAGGACAGAACCGATGTGAGGATCGCACTGTCGTGTTTTGTTTTATGTTCGTTTCGTTTCTTTAAATTAAAATATTCTTAGAAAGTAAAAATTAGAGGTTTAAATAAAACCAAAAAGACGTTATTTTTTCATATTTCTTTAAAAATTAGGAACGTCTATAGTATTAAATATCACAAAGTTCATGTACAACATTATCAGATAATCGTAACCCACAATAACTAAAGGTCAATTGTATGAAGAGTCTAATAACGTGAGGAATACATTATACCAGATATTGTAACATAATGGATCGCCATTGAATACAGCGCTAATTAAGTGTAAGTACTAAATGTTAATGTAATACCGATGTTATGTTCGCTTGGATGTTCTTGTATCAGAGTCCGTTTCAGTCTGTAGTCCTGGCACATAGTGTAAATGTAAGTACTTCTGTATTTGTGTGAACACATAAAATGTTACTATAGTATTAATATTTTGTAAGTCTAAATGGATATTATATTCTTCTAATTTTGTATGTCCGAGGTGCGCCCGCGCCCGCTCCGGTACTACGTAACGTACTTAATACGTACTTACTTGTAATATAACTGTAGACGATTAATGTACACGTGCCAAACGCACGATAATTGATATTACACTCTGTGTTGTGATTTTGAAAATTCTGTAAATTACAAGTCTTTGAAAATACTATGGAAAATGTAGACACCTTTTTAGATTAGCACAATTCTTCGCGTAGACACATTAGGCCAAAAATTTACTAAGCATTTAGAATTAACGAAGACGTAGGTATTCATTGGAAGATGTAAGTGTAATGTATGAATAGATTCATTGTTATATTCGATCAATGTGATGATTCGTAAGAACAACGACTTAACTCGAGTCCTGTACCCTACCGTGCTGGGCGACTCTTCACAACTTCGCATATCTTTGAAACAATAAGTAATAAAATTAATCTCTATTATATATATTGATAAATTTATTAGGGTAACTAATTTTTTAAGACAATGACTATTACGTGATCTTTTAGATTGTCTTTATTAATAAATATATGGTGAAGGTTTTGTCAATTTGTTTTTATTTTTACCCCATTCCACCTCTATTTTATACCATAGGTAATTAAATACTCACTGAGTCTTAAATGCATGAATTTTATTCATAATTCGCTACAGCAATGCTCCTGATGCTACGTTGTAGCAAGCCTACGTAAGTTGCAACGTAACTCCTGAAACTACGCCGTAGCAGGACTACGTATGTTGCAATGTGACTGCTTATGCTACGCCGTAGCAGGGTTACTACCTAAGTACCTAAGTAATGCTGGGTGATAAGGGTTGCATGCACGCTCGGCGAAAATCAAGGTGTCTTTCGATACAGAGACGATAAATGCGGAAGTGTGGTGTTACCCTGCCATATGTAACCAGGCGAATGAACTGTATAAAGACCGAGACGCCCGAATAGCGGCATGGCTACTTTGCAAAGAATTCTTTGAAAATATGGTTTTAGTTTCGAAAATAATTCAAAAGTAATAAAAAAAATGTAAATTGAGTCATAATTTTCTCTTAACCGCTAGAATGCACCCATATGAGACACAATAGAAAAACATTGTGTCTCGTGGATCCACGTTTAGACACGATAGGTTAATTTACTGAACTTTATAACTAATTTCCCGCACAACAACCAAGATTCAGTAAACGGCCTTAACTACTGGCTGTCGTTTTTTTTGCTAGTCGTCGTTTTGCTACGTATTACTAAGTTCTGCATCGACACGACTATACAACATAAAGTAATACTACCGAAACTATACAAGCACACTGTTAAAATTAAACTAGCGACACAGCGTAAGTCGGTCTTCGCGACGGATTCCCGCAACGGGGACCGCCGCGTACCCACAGAGCCCACCCACGTGTCCACGCGGGCAGACACGCGACGGTTGACCGTCGCGGGCGCCCGTTTCAAGCCTGATACTACCGCGTAGCAGGACTACTTAAGTTACGATGCACATCAGTATTAAAATATCTCGAAATCTCGAGGTCTTTCTTGGTGCTTACTCTTGAAACCAATCGCAATGCCAATGCAATTTCAGTCCAATAAAATATCAATAATTATTCAATGTCAGTTTTGACACTGTATAATATTTATATTATAAATTATATATTATATAACTGTCTCGTTGGCCAAGTGGTCGCAATTGCGCCTGCCGGGCAAGGGGTTTCGGGTTCGATTCCCGAGTCGGGCAAAGTATTACTGGGCTTTTTCAAAAAATCTCAGTATTAGCACGGAGTCTGGAATTGTGCCCGGTATATGGCAATAGGCTCACCCCCTATTACATGGGACCCATAACATAAATAGTGAAAAGTGGGTGTTACATTGTACAGTGGCATTAAGTGCCTACCCCTTCGGGGATAAAAGTAATGTTGTGTTATGTTATGTTATAATATATAATTATTCAATCTATCGTAGCTGTTAAAATAGCATTCAGAGTACGGATTAGAAAGCCACACTCAATACCATTTAGTTCATTCAATATCCACGCAATACGGTTGCAATGGGCGCTAGTGTTGCAACTCAAGAGTGCGAAATTTCACAATACCAATGTCGATAGATCGGATTTGGATTCAAGAGTAAGCCCCCTGGTCTAATTTATTTCACTTTGCGCGGGATAAGGTGAGGTAAGGGGAGGCAAGGAAAATTATAAAAATAAAACCAACATTGTCGTCTCCATCCGTTTATTAAGAACATTGTTATCACAATGAATCTTATCTACAGATCGATAAAACTCTGTTACAATTACGCAAAACAATAGATGGACAACAAAAAATAAAATAAAAATACGTAACACATTAACACCCACGGAATTATAATCGATCACTATTGAATTACAATTTACAATATTTTGATATATTTGCATGCCAATTTTAGATTTTAAAGTTAACAACTTACGTGTAGTGTTGCAATGAAATAAATGCAAGAAGAATGGCAAACACGTAATAAAGGAGTATTTAGTTTCAAGAAAATGTAATTATTGTGCTGTTTTCAGTCTCTGGTGTCTAGGTGAACATTAACACTGTAGATATACAAAATAAATGCAGAACACAACACTACAAGTAAAGTTGTAAACTTACAAAAGAATATCATGAATAACATTACTAGGGAATGTCCACTAGTTTACATCAGAACAATACAAACTTTGGTTATATTTATAGTTACGATACGTACAACAAGACACAACAAATGCATCCTTGTTTACTAGGTGTTACAATAAAACGGTGTAAGTACTGAAGTGTAGCGAGGCAACATTATCATTATTATAAGAATTTAATAAATTACTTGAAAAATTAAGATACGGACAGTAGGACAAATAGCGCTAAATATAAATTCAATTATTATACAAATGGACGTAGCAATTACAAATATAATTCAGATTTACTCTGTTATTGTGTCGCGAACACATTGCACAGCTCTCGCGACGGAGCGACTCCCGCGCTCTACATAATATAGTCACGACTGAGGACACTTGACTACGAAATCATATTCATATATAGCCATTACCTTAACACAATTACACAATCTATTAAAATTGACAGAAGAGTAATATTTACTCGAAATTATTCATGTACTACGGACTAAACAAATCTCGAGATATGAGGGGACATTATGCTGTCTAATTTACATGTATATTTATTCAGTTACGACACATTATTGTAATTACTTCCAATACACAAATAGTCAGCGATACAACTATACATTATCATACACGACTAACACAAACGTAAGTCGCAGTATTGCCACACAATATTATTAATACGGAATACAATATAATTTCAAATACAAAGTAAATGAAGCATATTTACAGATCCCACTTTCTTCGTACATAAACAAATATATTACTTCTGTACTATTAATAATTTTCTTTATTAGAATTATTGCATTTTCTAAGTATTTATGAGAAAAATCAACACTTATTTTAAACACCAATCTACCCAGTGCTAGAACGAACTAAATATTTTTAGAAACATTTTTTTATCTAATGGACTAAAATACAATATATATTGGTGTCAGTCATCGTCAGTTTAAAAAACGTCAGTGGCGGCTCCGTGTCTTGTATGTCACTACGATCACATACACAAATATTTCACACACATACCTATAAGAAGAATTACTTGTATGAAAAACTCACGCGAACACCTACACAAAAATATTGAATATTATTAAGATATCAAATGGGGAATTTACGACAGCAATTGTTAAATAGGCCAACGAGGGCAACAGGATCGGATGATAAGGTCAATATGAAACGACGATAATAGTAACTTGGTATTAATGGAACAATATTCAATATCTATTGTCGCAAACTTTAGGCCTTCAATGGAAGATAATTCTAATACACGTAAGATTTCACTTGAAAAACAATACTAAATATACAAACAATACGTATGCGAGACATTCTAAAACCTAAATTGCACAAGAATAGTGAAGAGAGAGAGAGAGAGAGAAATGAAACGAGTAATACTTCAGTTTTATAGAATGTTCAATTCATTATTATGCCAAGAGAGAATGACGTGAAATCTTACTTGCAGTAGAGCCACAGGAACAGTTCACTGTGCGAGCGAGTCATTATCTTCTTGTAGTAGCGCGAGGGCGTGCAGCAAGTTGTCCATACAGTGGTGGCAGACAGGCGTGTGCACAAAACACGGCGCGGCGCCACTGCGGCGGCACTAGCTGCGCAGGCGCCGGGCCGTGCGCGCGCGCCGCCGGCCTCGCACGCTGCGTCACTCCAACTTCACCGCCTTCTTACCCTTCACGATCGTCGGTTTGTTTTTCAGCATGCCTTTTCGTCTTTTAGTTGTCTGTAGGAAAATAACACATTATTATACCGAGTCTATAACAAAAGTTATGACGTCAAGCACTGCAGCCAGTAAGTCACATACATTGAGTCCGTATACGCACGTCGCGTCACATGCAATCAATAATAACACTAAATCAATATTTTTTACTAAATGATGAAACTCTAAGAAATAATACGTGAAATAAAAGTAGTCTGTTAAAGTAACAAAATCATCCTGCTACTGTACATCGTACGGGGATGTACTGTAAAAAATACTGTTGGAGTACATAGTGATGGGTGAACGTTTTTCATGCGGGGTTAAAGATTTCAGATTTTTTTTTAAGGGATAGGCCGGCAAAGGAACACACACGGATCACCTGATGGTAAGCAATCGGCGCCGCCCATGGACACCTAAGACACCAGAGGCGTTACAAGTGCGTTACCGGCCTTTAGGGAATTGGGAAATTTAAGGATTGTAGTGGATTCGGGAATTGGAGGGATTGGGGAGGGGGTTAATTGGGACACCGGGTAACCTCAGTCACACGACGAAACACAAAGCAAGCGTTGGTTCACGTCGGTTTTCTGTGAGGCCGTGGTATCACTCCGGTCGAACCGACCCATTCATGCCCAAGCATGGCTCTCCCAAACTCCATTTTCCCCATCATCCCAATGCATTTCCATTTAATTACTTGGAAAAACCATCGATGTACCATATAAAATCCTTTCAAGGGCCAGAATTCAGCCCTTAGTTAACCAGTCAGTTATACGGTTTCATTACAGAAATAAAAATTATAAATAACAAGAAAAACAAAACAACACAAACAAAAACAACATAGCATTATTACTTATCACAAACGTTACCATAAAGTTCAAAACTCTCCACTATAAACTGAAATATGGTTTCTATAGGAAGATAGATAAGCGCAGATGGTATGACGTCACACAAGCACAGACTACATATAACCACATACATGTCAAACAGAACTCAACAGGGTACTATACCATCGGTCCGCCTCCTAAGGCATGCTGGAATGCGAGAAAATTTGTCAGTACATCGTTAGTCACACACACTTTTTTATGAATCTACATAATTTTTTATGTGTACAATTACTCAAATTTCTATAAACGACAATGTGTAGGTACATTTTGACGTCATAACTTCATTATGTTAATTAGTTATTTGTTTGTGTCTTGGTCTTGAATTCATAGTCAAACAAAACAATTTGGTTTTGACTAAAGAAACTTCTCAATTTAGTTCTAGATAGCCAATCCCATGTGTTTGTGAAAATTGTTAATTAATAGTAAGGACCGTATAGTCCATAAACAGTAATTAAGTTGCTAATAATAATATATTATCCTTGACAACACACATCAATCTTTCATTTGTTAACTGTATGCGCAAAATGCGCAAACTTTTTGCTCAATGATTTTTGGTTTCATCTAGTTTGCGCGACATGCAGTATCATTTTGTCATTTCAAACATAGTCATTTAACAATTAATGTAAGTTTTAGTAAACATAGAACCCCAAAATCCTTCAAGTTTAGTTTTAGAAGATGGTTAGTATGTTAATATAATATTGTTTGTATAAATTATCTCACCTTTTTAGATATAGTGTTGCTAGTCGGGACTGTTCGTTTTGCAAGCGGCAAGCGTGGACGGTTGAACTCATCTGGTTTTTTCACTCTGAAAATATAATTGAATAATAATTTAAATAGCTACAACAAGATAATAACGTTAAGTAACTCTTACTTATAAGGTAATCATTAAACAAGTATAATTTCGTTTCTCAAGTAATTTTTACCTGTATATCCGGACCAGCCAGTGTTCAGTAGTGTAAGCTTCCTCTAGGTAAGTGAGTTTGAAGCCGCGGTTGCCTGGCAACGCCCCGCGTGTCCTGTCGTAGCCTGGCGGACTACCGCCACTGTCGTATCTACAAATACAAATAAGATAATAATATGATTAAAAGATCAAGAAACTTACAACTTAAGAAGTAAGTTATGTCATTAAATGAACTAATTGACTGCCTCGAGTGGTCGCAAGTGTGACTGCCAGGCAAGGGGTTCGATTCCCGGGTCGGGCAAAGTATTACTGGGTTTTTTCGAAAAATCTCAGTAGTAGCACGGAGTCTGGAAATGTGCCCAGTACATGGTAATAGGCTCAACCCCTATTACACGCAAATCATAACATAAAATAGTGAAAAGTGGGTGTTACATTGTGCAGTGGCATTAAGTGCCGTAATGTACACCTTTGCCTACCCCCTTCGGGGACAAAAGGCGTGAAATTGTGTTTTGTATGAACTAATTATATCCCAATAGCTTTTGTCAGGGGCTTAGCCCGCAGTGCTGTGGGGTAAAAAGCCTATGTATTCCAAATCATAGTCTACCCCTGTTTCAAATTTCATCCCAATCCCTTGGCCATTTTCGAAGAAGTAACAAACAAACAAGTTTGAGCTTTTATAATATTAGTATCTACATTCGCAAGTAAAATCTTAACTTAAGTAAGAACACACACATAACATAACACTACGCCTTTTATCCTCGAAGGGGTAGACAGAGGTGCACATTATACCACTGTACAATGTAACACCCACTTTTCACTATTTATGTTATGAGTCCCATGTAATAGGAGGTGAGCCTATAGGAAGTAAGAACTTAGGACCTTATACTGCAGAGTAATTAATAAATAGTGTTTACTAAACTTACCTATAATATGATAGTTTGTACATTAGACAGTTCAACATAGTTTTCGACGCTTCCGAGTCGACCCTGTATTCGCCTCGCTCTGTGAAGTAATCAGCTTCCTGTAAAAAACATAAAATATTATGTTAAAATATTCAGTCTACTTGGTGGATTATTGTATTTATCTATGTACTAGCTTTTACCCGCGGCTTCGCTCGCGTCACAAAAAGATAAAACGTAGCCTATGTGACTACTCATCCCTTCAACTACCTTCAGTTGAAAAATCACGTTAAGTACCTCCGTTTTGCCGTTTAAGACAGGCAAACAAACAAACAGCTGTTCGCTCGCGTGGAATTCGGTTATAACGCGCGTTTTAGATTTTTCCGTGGGAATGAGAAGTTCTGCCGCGGTAAAGCCTTGCTTTTCCAGGACTCAAACTACCTTTATACCAAAATCGATTCAGCCGCGTGAAAGAACAGAAGAAGTTATTTTCGCATTACCACAAATACCTCCTCCCATTTTAATTTAAAAGACTTCTATTTCCTATAAGGGTTATATTTGCAACGCTAAACCAAAACTGAGTGGTAAACTATATTATACGTTTTATTATCGAAACGAAAACCTAACTACTTTATTAGACATCTACTTAGAAATAAACCACTTCACTAATCTAACCTAACTAATATAGCTAGTGTATCAATCAACGTAAACATTGAACAAAGCGTCTTAGAACGACGAAAAAAAATTACTATAGTACTTTAAATATCAACCTAGAAAAAATAACACTCAACTCATCAAACCTACAAAGTGAACAAATAATAATCAATATAAGCGCTAGATGCGTACCCTAATATATAGATGATACGGAAGCTCGGAACCTATACTTTCGCCGGTAACGAAACCATAGCGCCATCTAACTCGATCCTAACGCCATCTATCGAGCATTGAAACAACAGCGTACAATATATTTGCTAATTGTTGAGTATTGTTGCCACTATGGTTTCGTGTACCTTTAACAATCTAAAATCTATAAAATACGCAACTTAATGTAAAATGGTTGGAACCAAAATTTAAAAGCGAAGAATACTTAAAAAACACAACGCTATTCCGTTTTATAAACACTCAGCGCCATCTATCGCCAAGTAGCGTAACTACCACATAGACACCAATTTCGTGTACCTTTAACAACCTATAATCTATAAAATACCCAATTCAATGTAAAATGGTAGGAATCAAAATTTAAAACCGATACAAATACTTAAAAAACAACGTTACCCCGTTGAATATATAATAATAAACACTCAGCGCCATCTATCGCCAAGTAGCGTAACTACTGCATAGTCACCAATTTTGTGTACCTTTAACAACCTAAAATCTATAAAATACGCAATTTAATGTAAAATGGTTAGAACCAAAATTTAAAAGCGAAAAATACTTAAAAAATAGCGTAACTACTACATAGACACCAATTTCATGTACCTTTAACAACCTAAAATCTATAAAATACACAATTCAATGTAAAATGGTAGGAACCAAAATTTAAAAGCGATAAAAGTACTTTAAAAGCACAACGCTACCCCGTTTTATAAACACTCAGCGCCATCTATCGCCAAGTAGCGTAACTACTACACAACGTTACCATGTTGTGTTTTTTAAGTATTTTTACATAAAAATTAGCAAATAAATGAGTCGAAAAGCGCACTGAATAAGTGTAGATTAACACCAAATAAGCGCTATAGATTAAAGCGTGAAATTTCCAATTAGTAGGTAATTCGTTAAATTGTTTTATATGGCACAAAGCGCCATCTACAGGAATACACACAGCGCCATCTATACTAATATTTTTGTTTTCCCTCGGGAATATCCCATTTTTCCGGGATAAAAAGTACCCTATTATTTAATCTGGACTTCTAACTTTACGTCTGCAAAATTTCAAAGCAATCGGTTTAGTAGTTACGACGTGAAGGTGAAACAAACAAACAAACAAACAAACTCACTTTCAGATTTATAATATTAGTAAGGATTAGTAAGGAAGTAAGGATTCAATACTACATTTTGTTAAATAATAGGTATACTTGTCTTTTGTTTTTGGGAAATAAAAATTCTGATTCTTATTGTGCCTAGGTTGCCGACCCAGGGTTTTCGGGTTCAATTCCCGGGTTTAGAAAGTATACATATTATAATGGAGCCGGTCAAGCATGGATTATAGAACAGAATTCTGTATGTAATACACATACACATCAAGCTTTATACTACAGTCTGTCGCCTTCTTTGGGACATTGAGCAGTATGATGGACGTTACTGTAGTTAGCATTGTCGGCATGTGACCTGTGTCACATCCTCTTCATAAATACAGTAAGTAATATACTACTTCAAAAGTACACTAAAAATCTGTATTTATGTTTAGAAAATAAACCATCAATTTACTTAATGAATCTATACACAAATAAACAAATCAGTCCTACAATATATTCTTCAACAAATTCCTATTTAATCACAAAATAACCTTCAATAAAGACAAAACGACTCACATGAATATCCTTGGGATGTTCTCCTTCAGCGATACGGACCATCCAGATGAACTTGTTGATGTCATCGCCGGAGTATCCGATAGCTCCTCCGAATATCACCAGCACGTAGTCCACGTCCAACATAGTCATTATGTCATAGGCAGCCGACTCGTTACTGGCCATTGCCTTGCCCACGAGCGCTATGTGGGAATTATTCCACGTGTTGTTGTCTACTAACGTCGTCCGGTTACCCATGCCCGCGATCTGGAAAAAAAAGTAAATTATATTTTTTTTATATCTACACTTCTTATAATGTGTTCTTATAATGTGTTTTAAATTAAAATCTATCTATACTAATATAATTGTAAGTCGAAGAATTTGCATGTCAGTTTGAAGGCAAATGAATCATTCTTTTTGTGTTGGACAGCCCATAGATTATGAATAACTGAAGAAACCGAGAAGGCGAGGTGATACCGCGGGGGAAAAGCTAGTGATAGATACTTTTAACAAGACGAGCACAGATATCACTAGATGGTAAGCGATCGGTGCTATCTGCTACAACTGGACGAGTTACAAATGCGTTACTGATCTTTATGAATGTTTTTTTTTCGTCTTTAATCTTATACTATCCTATATCTTATACTCTTATATCAAGCTGAAGATTGTGTTTGTTTTAACGCGATAATCACCAAAACCACTGGTCCAATTTGAATAATTATTTTTGTGTTGGATAGTGCATTTATCGAGGAAGACTATAGGCTATAAAATCACGCTACTACCAATAAGAGCCGCGCAGAGCGGCTGAAATAGAAATAGGTCGTGTGTTATAAAACCGGAGGTACTACTAATGAGCATGACGTGTTTGTACGAGCACTTCTTTATTAAAAAGCTCCATAAATAAAATAAAGCTTTGTCTCATGAACATCAATTATGTAAGTTAGGACAAAATACTAGTCGAATATTTTGTCAAACAGTTACATGAGTAAGTCATAACATAACATCACGCCTTTTATCCCCGAGTCGGTAGGCAGAGGTGTACATTATGTCACTGTACAATGTAACACCCATTTTTCACTATTTATGTTATGAGTCCCATGTAATAGGGGGTGAGCCTATTGCCATAAACCGGGCACAATTCCAGACTCCGTGCTGCTACTGAGATTTTTTTTAAACCAAGTAATACCTACTTTGCCCGACCCGGGAATCGAACCCGAGACCCCTTGCCCGGCAGTCGCACTTGCGACCACTCGGCTAACGAGGCAATGAGTAAGCCTTGGACAATAATCTTAATGGAGAACCTTGGACAACCGTAACCGAATTCCATTAAAACAAATGAATAAAACACATGGAAATAATATTAATGCCAATTAAAATGTACATATAAACATGGACATAAATTAATAATGGCACAACAGTAAATGAAACTTATACACGATACTGTCAAAGTAAATTAATTTTAATCTATGTTACTCATGTTATTACATTATCGCAAAATCTTGAAGTATTGTAAATAGTTATGAATAACTGAAGCTACATAGAATGCATTTGTATTTAATTAGTAATTATAAATGCAATGCATTAGGTAGTTACATAACTTCCTTAATTTTTCTTACTTAGGGCCGTTTTTCCAACGCCTGATAAAATTTAGCTGACGAATAAATTTGTACATTTTACAATTCTTCCGTGCTAAAAACAGTCAAATGTCAATTTTATTGTACAGTAAAGAATTAACTGATGATTAAAAAATTGGCGCTTAAAGAATCTAGAAATATAACCTATATTATAGTGTTATTCAAGAAAGAGTGCGTCGAATACGTCGTCACGAGACGTTTTTGTCTAACCATAAAACGTTGCTACCATCCGTGCGTCACTGCAGGGTCATCATCATCAACAGCCTATAAATGCCCACTGCTGAGCAAAGCCTCTTCTCACACGGAGAAGGTTTGAGCATTAATCACCACGCTTGCTCAATGCGGGTTGGCGATTACAAACTTATAATTAGAAATTTTAAGCCCAGGTTTCCTCACGATGTTTTCCTTCACCGTTTGTCAGTGGTGCCTAAATAATCTTAGAAAGTAAATAAAACTCGGAAAAAGTCACATTGGTCCTTGCCGTTGGTAGGTTTCGAACCCGCAATCTCATGCCTGAGAAGCCAGTGTCTTAAACCTCCGGGCCACCACGACTTTCTTAACCGCAGGGTGCCCACTGAAAATTAGTGCTGGTTGACACGAGTCAACCAGCACTAATTTTCAGTCACCGACTCAGTCACCCACTCAGTGTAAGCTAGGCATACGAATGCCTAGCTTACACTGAGTGGGTATTTTTTATATTATACTTATGCTGCATCGTTTCTGGTTCTGATTTAATGTTTTTTCTTTCTTTCTTAGAACACACAAATTCACCTCACATCTAGACATAGAACAACAATTTACGGATCACACAAAGTTGTTCCGTGCCGCGATACGATGCAATGACGGTGCAGTCTAACCACTGTTGATTCCCTTACCTGATATCCATAATCCCACCACGACATGACCCTCGCGTCTTCAGCAGTGTTCTGCGACAACCAGCCATAAGCTTCTCTGAAGTCGTCCAGGATTTTACGAGTTCTAGAAAAAAGGAGGTTTGATCAATAACTTGAATGTGTTGCGGTGAAGTTTATTTGCACAAAAAATAAGAATTTGAATTCAAAGGGGCTTGTTTCTTACAACATAACTGTGAATAAGCACCATTAAAACTGACAAGAGTCGGTAAAAGAAGCTACAAGATGTCTCGGATCGATCGCAGAATGGAAGTGCGAGAGGTAAAATTGCGAGAACTGGAATGAATGGAGAACTTTATATAGGCGCAACCGACTGAAGATGGCGGAGATAGTGCAGAAAAAAAAACACCCTTTAACTTCCAAGTCACATAAAAGTAGAGTTACTTTTATGTTCCATAACTCTCGATTAGATTTCGATAGACAAACCCACCTTCTATCCTTGCGAAGAGTAAAGACGTGTTATTATGTCATAAATAGACAACTTACCCATCATTTCCGTAGCTAGCGAGCACAATACTAGGACTGGAGTATGCATTAGAGGTGGCCCAGGTGCAGTGCACGGAGAACAGCATGAGCAGTATCATGATCAGTATCAACGTCACGGAGCGGACGTTCATGCCGAGTCCAGGGTCCACTGGCGCGGGCTGCTCGTGTGTACGCTTCTTTAGTTTACCGGCCTGGTGAAATTGTATTATTTTAAATTAAAACTTAGTAGGTACTGCGTCAATTTTATCTAATGGTAATGGAATTTTGACTTTGTTACGACACTTGCAAATCAATGAGTTTTTTTTTTATTTTATTTTATTCCCAGCAATATCCTTACAGACTAATCCAAATCGATATTGAGGCCTCTTATATCTAAATTACAAACTAAATTTTTTTACTAACTAACCATAACAAATGTTTTAAAGTGCTACTTTAGTGAATTCACTCAGAGTGCAATAAAACATATCAACGTCTTCAGCTATGAGGTTGAGCGTGCGCAGCGCGCGCGTCAGAGGCGCCTCGCTCAGTAACTTAGTGCGCGCTCGCGGCACCGCCAGTAGGCGCAGCCGTCGTCGACACGTCGCATACCCGTCCGGCACACACAACCCTACCCTGGCCAAAATATCCGCATTATGTATCACCCCCCTAACCACCGAAAAGATATAGGTTACGAGTGTGAGTTCCCTCCTGACCCTCAGTTCATTGTATCCGACCATACCTAGGATAAACAGGGTAGGATACATTAGCGGATAAAAAGGATAAACCCCGTACAGCTTCATGTAAATAAATCGAATAAACTTATTTTGTACACGTTCCAACATGAGGCTATATTTAGTCTCATGTGGGGCCCAGATAACTGCGTTACATTCTAGTTGGCTCCTAACTAACGAATTATATAACGCTCTAATAGCTTTTATATTTGTAAAGCCTCTAGCCATTCGAAGAACCAACCCCAAGTTCCTGTATGCTTTTTTACAGATTTTGAGTATGTGATCACGAAACGTCAGCTCAGTAGTAAAATGAACTCCCAAATCTCTCACAGTCTTTACCCTGGCCAACTCATCTCCATCCACAGTGTACTTATTTTGATTAGTGTAAGTTCACTTATTTGTACAGGAGATACACTGGGTATAAGACATACTGTTATTAGAGTGAGGAGTGATATTTTAATGAAGTTTCAGGATTCAAATACATAGAATTATGACGTCACATCTACTCAATAAAATATAATAAATGAAGGCTTCATCTACGAGATTATAGAAACAAAATGCAAATGCGTTACCTTGTCATACAAACTCTTAGACTCTTCAGTTTCGTCTTGTTGAGTGGGCAGTTCCTCCTCCCTGAGGACGAGGTCACAAAGTATGGAGAACGCAATGCCTGCCAGTACACAGACCACGGGCGTCAGGGTCAGCATCAATCGGACCATCACACCAGCGAAGTACACCGCACTCAAAGCGTATAGAGCCACTGAAACGAAAATACAGCTGTTAAATAATAATAATATTGAATGTGTTACAGATGCTATAGGTAAAATTTAATTAAATAGATGGGCATCTATTTAATACTCTTAACTGATATGACGGATAAAAAATAATATTAAGGAGCTGTTTCACAATATCTGGATATCCGCTATCTACCAGATATATTTGAAGTCAGAACGTAATTTATATGAACTATCTGTCACATAAGTTTATCTTATATGGAGGTGGTGAAACCGACGCTAAATATCGTATCAAAAACAATGCACACGGTTAAAAACAATTAATAAACAAATCAATATTCCTGCAAAAAATAATGTCAGTTAGTTGTTTCATAAAATAATCGTTATGGTGTTTACAATTAAAACAAGGAGCAAAACCAGATCATATTTTACTTAAGAATTACAAAAGCAAATCTTACCAAAAACTCTTTCATCATTGATATGCTTGATGCAATACCACAGGCCGACGGGGAAGGTGCACACGAGGACGTGAAGGTCGAAGAAGAACGATGACCAGGTCGTAGGTTGATGTTCTGACACTGACGCGATGATAGGAATGTGGATCTTTGCGTATGTCGTGTCCCATAGAGAGTAGAATCTGAAATAGACAATCGATCGTGTTAGAAAATAATATCGGAGTGTATGGTAAGTGAGTGCGGTTACCGAAGACCCAAAGGCCAGCAATGGACTTGCAATTTAAAAAAAAACGTTGCCCCACACTAGGATTATCTCCTGTGTCGTGGGTGCGTTTACAAACATACAAGTTCACATACACATGACACCCAGACCCGAAACAACAATTTGTGGAACACACAAAGTGTTGTTCCGTGCGGGAATCGAACCCGCGACACGTTGCACGGCAGCCGGTTGCCCAGCCACCGCACCAACCGTGCAGTCAATATTAGGTGACCTGTCCGCTCGGTTACCCCCCTGTCCCACAAAAGAAAATACCAATGCTAACAACGATATTTTTCACAAATAAAATTGTGATTTACGCAAACACTTGCGCTAATTTGCGCAACATTTGACAGTTATTAACAACTTTATTTCAAAGCAATAAGGGTGAATTTCATAGTGCAAACGTTATTTAAGAACGGATATTATGTGGTTTACCACGCATTTGTTTAACAATAGCTCAAACAACACCATATTTATTGAGCAGGTCACGATCCATCAGGTTTAAACTATTGAATATCTTGTATACAGGTCATAATTTGTAACATGTTTTAACTTAAATTCAAGTAGTAGTACTAAGTATAATACGAATTTACCGACATACTGCGCACATGTAACACTAATTCCTAGAGATGTTACAAGAGGGTGTAAAAAGATCCTAAAAAATTTGACTCTCAAACAAGAAATTCTACAGAATAACATGTTCTAACAAAACTCAACTATTCCACATAAATAACAATACTGCAGATTTCAGCATAAACATAACACAACACTTGGTTACAATGTTATGTTAATCCATCGTAAAATGTAAGGATCGAGGTTAGTTCTCAGTTCTCACGAACTCGCATATCAGGCAATAAAACAACGGCGCAGCTGTATTATGTCAACATTTGTAAAGAATCTACATACAAGAACACTGCCAGAAGAATGTCTCTCAGTTTTTCAGTCCAATAAATCATACATACATACATAACTTCACGCCTGTCTCCCATGGAGGTAGGCAGAGATTAAGGAACGCCAATTACTACGATTCTTACATATCTCTTTCGCTTCATTAACAGTCATCAATCTTTTCATGCATGCTCGTCGGTTAAGGGTACTTTTAATTCTAATCCAATAAATCATTCATTCAAAATTATTGGATTTATGTCGATTTTTAATCACAATTTCTATTGAATTTCTCCAAGTAAAAACCCTAGATCAAACCAGATATTTGAGATCGAGTATTAGCTTTCTAGTTTTTCTTTTCTCAGGGTGTCAGTTTAAATATAGTTACAGTGAAGTCTTGAATCAAACGCTGTGTTTGTCAACAAGCTCTGATTGCTATACTACTAACAACACATTACCGACAAGAAACCAGTGTTGTACCTTAAACAAGCCTTGGGTAAACAACAGGCTTATGTCGGAATACTGAAACGCTACTCAATTTTAAGTCGTGCTTAAGCATAGTTCTATCTCTACAAATTCTTTGTAAAATGACAGAGATGGCACGATATTTGAGCTCGACTTAAAATTGAGTAACGTTTCAGTATTCCGGCATTAATGTTACAGAATAAGTACCACATAGAGACAGATTGTACATGTGATCCAACACATGTATAAACAAGCTGTTTAAATGTCCGGCAATACTTATTATTCGATTATTATAAGTTAACATGATACGAAAAATACATCAGAGGCCTTAGTACGAATTTCTTTTACGTATAAAGTAATCGTAACGAGTACGCGTTCGGCGCTGTGATTGGCCGGCTCCAATGAACCAACCAATCAGAGCGCCGGACGAGGTTTCATTTCGATTACTTTAAACATAAAACAAACTCGTATTAAGACCTCTGCTGTTCGGTCGAAAGTGTCTATTTCATTAAATAGCAACAAAATCCATGGGTCACCTAGGTTCGAACTCTAGAAGTGCTCGTTTGCATTCTCGACCGTGATTGGTTGAGATAATTCTGACAACCAATGACATGGCGGAGCGCGGTCGAGCTCAATTCGAGAGATCCAATTTTAAAACATTACACGCGTATTTTTTATTTTTCTACAGAAACGAATATTTTCGATGATAAATTATTATTGATTTGAAATGTCGCGTGACGTCACTTCTATGTACATTTTATACGTTTTAGCCCCCACTCCCAAACTTTGATTCGTTATATCTAAGTATCATTATATTATACAACAAAATAAAAAAATACGTGTATAATATTTTTTCATTACCTTACTGACGGACTAATTAGATTTTTAATTTGCATACTCTGACATCATCCCTATTGACATCTTACAGAATAGCCCAGCTGACAGTAAATTACCGTAGTCTAAGTGCACATGTAACACAGAGGCATCAATAAACTACAACAGTATCCTGGCATTCAATAACAACAAAGTCCAAGAGCTGCCTAATAGTAAGAAGCCAGTGTAGCGTTTCCAACTATGAAAGACATTGTTGAAATGTTTACTAACACTGAAACCGGTTTAAAAGCCGACAAATCTTGTGATACAAAAATCTATACATTTTGTGTATAAGAAATGTATGTGTAAAAATGTAGACAGTTATGTCTATTCTAGAAATACTAAAATATTTTTGCGAATCGACCTCCAAAACCAAATAAGCTATAAAAAGTAACTACTTTTAATAGCTTTTTTTATTTTAAAATAAAAGCTTATTTGGTTGGTTGTGTTGTGGTTTTGGTTTTGGTGGTACCCGCTTCGAGCCGAGAGAGACATGTTGTATTGTCTCTGGCTCGAAGCTGGTTGCCGAGGCTCCGGCTCGAAGAGCAGGAGTAGGGACGGGGTGGTTTTTAGTCAATGTGAGTCTGACACTCCCTCCCGCCTCACCGAGGCGTGAGAAGAAATTTGATGATTTTACCCCCTTAAAAAAACATAGACCGACTAGTGATAACGCCTGTGTTATAAGTTCACGTATGTACAGTATTAAGGACATAAATTAGTAACGAACCTTCCACTCCAAGGCGCGATGACTCCAGCGTATGTCAGCAACACGACAGCCAGGAACACGGCGCCGGCAGCAGCCAGACCGCCCAGGATCAGCAGCTGCTTCCACTGACCCTTGGGGTTCAAACTGTGCAGGTACTTCAGTGCACCAATTGCCATCAGCAACGCGAATACACCTGTGGACAAAGATAATCTTATAAATTGTCTGTTTTTGGCAAATTTATTATACTTAAGTATGAAACTTAATGACCGATTGAGAAAAGTCAGAAGTCAGTGAGACTTCACGTATAACTAACGTGACCAAACGTCCCGTCTCTTTTATAATTACTAACTCTGGGATGCTAAATACTCCCGTTTTCGGAAACCAAGCGAAAATTTAAATAGTCGAACCTATGCGACGACCAATCAGACGGCGTCATTCATAACTCGCTAATTCTTGAGTACAATCGAAAAATTTTTAAGTACCTACATTTTTGTGCAGTGAGTAATGTTAACCTTTTTGATGTAGGCACAAAGTGTGTGTTTACTAGTTCTATAATAGGGTCTAGCTACTAGATGCCTGACTAAATCTAAATAAAAAGATGTCCCGTTTTAAGTCAAAAAATAAATGGTCACGTTACGTATAACCTTCTTTATTTTATTAAGTGTAAGTCTGTATGTCACGACGGATGTGTTAGAGTATTCTAAACCACTCGATTTGACCGAGCTCTAGTTAAACAAATCTTTTGGAGGGATGACTAATTACAAGTTTTTATTTATCTCTAGCTCCAAAATAATAATGAATTGGACATCTATGACAAGGATTGGCCGCAAAAAACTTTACATAGAGAGGAGAGGAAGGAGGGTAGGGAGGCCTTTGCCCTGCAGTGGGACGATCATGGTTGAAAATAAAAATAAACAAATAAATAAGCTCCAAAATAAGTACTTCCCAAAGCAATCTCTAAAATAAACGAATGAATCATGTAAGCTAAAGAAAACTATAAGAAAAACGTAAACGGTGATAAAACAATCGTCGACTGTAGTAGCAGTCGATTGATTCGCCACGGATCGTACGGTGTCGTTGGCCGCACCCGCACGGAACGTATTTTGTATGGCTTGAAATAGTTCAGGAATTCAGGATCTGAGTAAACAAACTGATACAAACAATGTTTGCGCTTGAATAACTACTGAGTACGAGATTACGGATTTAGTTTCGTAGGCGAGTAGAGAACTCCTCGTCTTTCTAATTTAAATTCATAGAAAGTCAAATTAAGTAAAAATGCATTTAGTGATGCAAATTTTACTTGTAATCTAACGGAACCCATTAATTCACATGTTATATAAAATTTATGTACTAGTAAAAAAAGGCGACTTTGCTTATAGATGTTTAATTGGGATGATGACAGGGTATGAAAATTAAAAATCTAATTCGTCCGTAAGTTAGGTAATGAAAAAATATTAGACACGTATTTTTTATTTTGTCGTATAATAAAACAATACTTAGATAAAACGAATCAAAGTTTAGGAGTGGGGGCTAAAACGACATTTCTACGTATAAAATGTACATAGAAGTGACGTCACGCGACATTTCAAATCAATATATCGTCGAAAATTTATATTTAATTAGTTTCTGTAAGAAAATAAAAAATACGTGTCTAATGATATAAACAAATCTACCAGACGGACATTAAATAAAAATTAGGCATCTACCGTCGGGATACTGTTAAAATTTGGACAAAACTATGTGCCGATATTTTTTCTAGTAAGTAACTACAGCTCAAATGGTTAGCATAGACACTTGAATAGCTCTATTTACTCTTTACTTTAGGTTTTATGTTGTGACCAACAACAGACAGTCATTAAGGTCAATCATACGATACGATCAATGTTTGATATTTACGATCCTGTCCGATAACTATTTTTATACGATCTGATAGCAACAGTGTAAACAACTTGTTCCGAACAGATAGAAAAATGCGTGAGAATAAAAGTCGGCTAGCCAGGTGATAAAAGGTTTTTTTAATGGAATAGGAGGTAAACAAGCAGTCGGATCACCTGATGGTAAGCGATCAGCGCCGCTCATAGACAACAACAACACCAGAGGAGTCACAGGTGCGTTGCCGGCCTTTTAAAAAGGAATATTCTATTTTCTTGAAGGTTTGAAGGTCGTATCGGTTCAGAAATACCGCCGACGACAGATCATTCCACAGTTTTGCTGTGCGAGGCAGGAAGCTACGTGAGAGGCGCACAGTTGTGGCCTGCCAACCATCTAAATGAAGTGCAGTCAAGTCGTGTTTAAAAATATAGGTAGCAGTGTATGACGTTTAGTTAGGTTATAGGGGTTGCAAACGAGAATCGTGTGCAGCAACTTCTTTCTTTCGTCGTTTGCCAATTCGTTCTAGAAGTAGACATTGTGTTTTAATCAGAATTACACTGATTTACAGGAAGCAACTACCTATGCAACTACCATCTGCTGTCCTGCACAATTGGGTACTTGCCAAATGAATTTCTGTTCGTTATTCTCGCTAAAACTCGAGAACGGCTGAACCGATTTGGCTTAGTTTGACTTAGAAACCTTCGTGGAAGTCCAGGGAAGGTTTAAAAGATGAGAAAAAACATTTAGGCAGTACGAAGTTTGCCGGGTCACCTGGTAATAGTATAAAATTGGTATAACCACAAAAGTGGAACCTAACTATGTAGTCTATAGACCTCTGCAAAACTCGTAAAAATAAAGGTAAGTGTCTGTATACGGCAGGTTATACGACGCGTCGTCTAGGTGTACCAAGTGATAAGGCACTTCATATGATTATAGTCCATTGCCCTCGATTACACTGAAGTTGACGTCGGACTAGACCCACACTACAATGGCTTTGCAAACATTATATAGGTCAGAGTACACAGGTAGACTTGTAAACTAATAGGTATAAGGTTTATTAGTAACGAGGGCCGCCCAATGAGAACATTGTATGCTCATTACAAGCTTATTGGAGACATTCTTGAATAGGTAGAAGCAGTGTAGATGAGATACACGTGATGATTGTGATGACAGTTAAAAAAACAAGGATCGTAGTAGTAGATTAATAATTGTTTTCAAATAATATAAGTAAATTCGCCGTTGAACTAAGCTGTAAGTTGGCCTATCGCCAAACGGCATTCAAGTGAAGTGTATTGCTTGAAGAAAATATTACCATACATGCAACCAAACGAGTGGAATGCATTTAAATAGAAGATATATAAAACCATAGAAACTAGATTGTATACAAATTAATAATAATATAATAGAAGGACACATCATAAATAGTTGCATTCATTTTTATTCATGTAATTTTATGGCCAAAGGAGTGGGTTTTTTTAAGGGGGGAAAATCATCAAATGACTTCTCCCACCTGGGTGAGGCGGGAGGGAGTGTCAGACTCTTACTAACTAAAAACCACCCTGTTCCTACTCCTGCACTTCGAGCCGGAGCACCGGTAACCCGTTAGGTTCTCCGCGGCAAAAGGAGTGGGTTAAGGAGTAGACATTACGTGTAATATCTGTGGCGACGCATGCCACATGTCGACGGATAACGTCACAAGAATCCTACATCGCACATGCAAAGTTTACAAGCGAATAAACACGGATAGAAAATCCCAACGAACAACTGTTGGGCAGAAAGCCCGCCAGGCACGATCACCTCGCCTGGTCGGAGGATCCTCCTTTTCCGATCTTAGGTAACTATACTCTCTGTTCTCTAAATATCTATTTTTAATTGGTTATTTTATAAGTCTCATGATAATAACTGGCAATACTGTTGCCATTCACTGAGAAGGATGCCATATTTCATACTATCACTCATAGCAAAATAATATTACCCAAGGGATTCCAGGAAATAAAACATTGCTCGACCAACTTCAGGTCGCTATTTTTTTTTAATGTGTCTGAGTAAATAATATAGTAGCCATTTACTAACAAAAAAGTCCGAGTACACATATTACGCGACGAGTTTTAGCATAATTGAAGTTTAATTGAAGGTCATAAAGTTGAATTCTATATTGCTGCCGGTTGTTCATCCTATTAGGCAAATAGAGGTCATGGTCTGGTCAGCCTAGACTGACTATGTTATCATGAAGTATTATCTATGTAGGCACCTAGACATGTACAAGTGTGCATGTATTTTCCTTGTTTTATATTAAAACTAGCGACCCGCCCCGGCTTCGCACGAGTGCAATATGCATGTATTATACATATAAACCTTCCTTAAGAATCAATCTATCTATTGCAAAATAACGCATCAAAATCCGTTGCGTAGTTTTAAAAATCTAAGCATACATAGGGACAGACAGACGGCGGATAGCGATAGCTTTGTTTTATACTATGTAGTGATGATAACTTAAGTTTCTAATTGATTTGTAACGTTAACCATATTAAAGAACGTGAAATGAAGATGTATCAAAAATTAATATGACAACATGGCTCTCATTCCCTGAAGGAGAAGTGAAGTACAGCAACTTCACTTCTCAAAACTACTGTTCGCCAGATAAGTATGTTATAGGTCTTAAGTTCACTTAACAAGCATGGCTCCGGCACGGCTCCAACCCAGCAATTAACTTATCATTTAAATATGAACTTTAAATCGTATGTGTATGACATATTTCATAACGTCAATATAAAAAACGCGGTGCCGGAGCCGTGCTTATTAGGTGTTCGATGACTTTTATGCAATAAGGTGCAGCCTATTGCTATACACCGGTCACAATTGCAGACTCGCGAGGGAATACTTCTGTGCATTCACAGAAGTATTCCCTCGCGAGTCTCTTTGTTCTATCCTTAAGATGGTAAGTCAAGTCAGTAACTAATACTTTTCTCGCGACCTAACACCCGAATCATCATCATCATTATCAACAGCCTGTTTTCGTCCACTGCTGGACATAAGCCTCTCCAATACTGAAATACATAAATAATGAACACCCGAATACTGAAAGGAAAATTTTAAGTTGTACCTAAATACCGTGCCATCTCTGACATTTTACAAAGAATAGGGATGATGACAGGGTATGAAAATTAAAAATCTATTTAGTCCGTCAGTTAAGTAATGAAAAAATATTAGACACGTATTTTTTTATTTTGATGTAAAATAAATTGATACTTAGATATATCGAATCAAAGTTTAGGAGTGGGGGTAAAACGACATTTCTACGTATAAAATGTACATAGAAGTGACGTCACGCGACATTTCAAATCAATATATCGTGGAAAGTATTCGTTTCTGTAAGAAAATAAAAAATACGTGTCTAATAATATAAAAAAAATCTACCAGACGGACATTAAAATAAAAATTAGGCATCTACCGTATTTGTAGTGAGACAGAACTATACATAAGCGCGAACTATATATACTATACATAACACACACTCTTAAAATTGAGTTGCGGTTGAGTATTTGGACTAGTCTGACAAAAGATACTCCTAAATACCTCATGTATTACAAAATAAGACACATAAATCACTAAAATATAACGTTATTTTAAAAGCATAGTTACAATTGCAATAATTCATGCCATTACTATCGGGACAGATCCGTTTCGACCAATAAAAAAGCAACACTTCAATAAAATTTCCAATTCACCTTGAGTGCTAGCACGGCATACAAAGCGCAGGAAATTGTGAACATTCATAGGTTTATTTATCTAATTGATAACCGCGCAAACTTTACTACATTTGTTTATAAATTGTATTGAAGTGAAGTAGACATATCTACAACTGCATGCTTATTAGTGGAAAACTAATTTTTGATGGCTACTTTCAGCAGTTTGATCTGGGTGCTTACTCTTGTAACCAATCTCAATGTCAATGCAATTTCAATTCAATAAAATCTCAATAATTATCCAATATCAAAACTATATAACCCGCATTGAGCAAGCGTGGTGATTAATGCTGAAACCTTCTCCGTGTGAGAAGAGGTTTTGTTCAGCAGTGGGCGTTTATAGGCCGGTGATGATATTGATTGAGTAAAATTTCCAGAAGATCTTGTTGAAATAACCAACAACTCGCTCAACCCAAGAATCAATACAGGAACTTAATTGTCATTAACGAACAACAGCGCATTTTGTCCCAAAATAATACTATTATAATTATATTTGTTTTCGAAATCCAATATGATTAAAACGCATACAAACTAACTATTATATGTCCTACATAGATTCAAGAGCAGAATGGTCTGCAGAAAATCTCTTTTCATTATTAATCTACCTTTTGTATTTCAATCAGCAAGCATGAATGTAGGTCGAGGCATGTTTCGCTATGTACCTACCGTATGTAAACTGCTCTTTGAATGCAGTGGTCAAATGAAGTAATCTATGTTCTAGTTTATAGTGAAAATATACTTCAGTAGTATTTCTTTTTGTTGTAAAAATGAGTAATATTTAAAATTATAGTCGGGTAAAAGGGGTGATCCAATACCGGGCAAAACAATTCTAAACTGATGATGTGATGTGATCACCGTGATGTTATTGTAAAATTAAAAAAACAGAAGGAACCCTAATAACTCTGCATTACCTAGAACTCAACAAAACCTTTTGATCGGCAGGCGCAGTAATAGTCACTCAACCATCAAGACAATAACAGACGTTAAATAAAAATAATAATTAACGCCCGAATAAATTATTATGTTTTCGGCTTATTCATGTAATAATTTGACGAGAAACTCGACTAGTATCAAGCCATGCTAGAGGCTAACGCCCGAATACTGAAAGGCTAGATCATTTTAAAAAGAATTTATAGTGACAGAACTATACTTAAGCGCGACTTCAAATTGAGTATTTGGACATATGTAGTACAATAATAAAGCAAAAGCAATAGGCTCACCCCCTATCACATGGGACTTATAAGATAAATAGTGAAAAGTGGGTGTAACATTGTACAGTGGCAGTAAGGGCCGTAGTGTGCACCTCTACCAACCCCTTTGGGGATAAAACGCATGATTTTAAATAGTACAATAATAAATTCTTAATCTTATTCCATTATACTTTGCAAAACCTATTATTTTAAACTTTATTACCTATAGAACTGAGATTTTCGAACTTTAGTTTTCTAAACAGGCATTGGTTAATCAATTACCCAGAAAATTGAATATTGGTTAAGATTATGAACGTGAAAGCAATTAAATCTTATCGAGGTATTAATTAATGGTACCTGAGTTCTATTGTTTATGTACTGGTTTACATGTCTTATCACTGTTTTTATTTATGTTTATATATTTTATATCCTTCATAACATAACATCACTCCTTTTATCCCCGAAGGGGTAGGCAGAGGTGCACATTACGGCACTTACTGCCATTGTCCAACGTAACACCTACTTTTCACCATTGTTTTTTTATTTATTTTTTTATATAGGAGATTAGCCTAATGCCGTATAAGTACCGGGCTTTTTCCAGAGATTTTTTAACAATACCCAGTCTTATATCCTTCTAATCCTACTAATATTATAAATGCGAAAGGTTGTATGTATGTATGTTTGTATCTCTCGTCTGCCTCACTCCTTCACGTCAAAACGGCTATAGGGATCGGGATGATATTTGGAACAAGGGCAGATTATGGTCTACAATAACACAGGCTACCTTTTATCCAATGTGAAGTGAACGCGGGTAAAGAGGCCGGCAGAAGACAGTTTCAATTATTTAAAAAAAATTGTATGTCACATTTGTATTGGACCAAGATTTTCTCCTACATTGTGGGTCGACTCTCTACCGTCAGCCTCAAACCCAAAACCACAATGCTCCTAATGAAGAAATAGTTCATGTAGAATTACGTCTATGGCAGTAACTATAATTCGAATTTGATTGTTTATAGGTAAAATAATCCGAATATCTAATAAACGAAAATAATTATGTGCCAGCGTTAGCTCAAGTACTGCTGCAATCGTACATTCAAGTAAATCAGTATAATATACAGTGCCACAATACTTCCTTTAACGATTTTCCTTTACCAATCTTCGAATCAGGAAAAGCAATCATACAAATATAAAATAAATATAGTATATACCTACGCTACGTACATTACGCAACCAGTTTTGCACATAATTAGCATTAGCTTCTGTTATCAATTACAAATGGTTACTTAGTTAAATTTCATGCTAAACATTTTTATTCGTTAGTAATTTTCAGTTTCATACAATAACATTTCATAATACATTTTTTAATGATCAATTTTTCTATTATAGTAAGATCATGTATGCAACTTCATAATAAGGTATTTAATTTTCATTTTCATTTTGTTTATCACTGGGACCAACTAGATTAGCATGACTGGCTGAATACCTGTCTGTCAGTTATGCAAAACAAATGCTATATATCCTGTATAATGTAAGTACTACTCAATACACTTAAAATTAGTCCAGTTTATACAATTCCAAAATCGAACTCACCAGAAGCCGCCATATGTTCGCTAGTCCGGATCGGCTGGAATCCAACGAAGGGGATCTGCATAGACATGAGCAGTCCTACAATGTAGAATACGGTGTAGCTCACAAATAATCTCTGGGAGAATCGGCCCATTATCAGCAGCAGGAACACATGCAGAGGGATCAAGTTGATAATGAATACGTAGCCACCCCATGCTGACACCTAAAACAATAAAATTTATTTAAATTTGGTTTTTTTTTGTTTTAAAGAAAACATTGCCCCACACTAGGATTTTCTCCTGTGTCGTGGGTGCGTTTACAAACATACAAGTTCACATACACATGACACCCAGACCCAGAACAACAATCTGTGGATCACACAAAGAGATGTTCCGTGTGGGAATCGAACCCGCGACACGTTGCGCGGCAGTCAGTTGCCCAACCACCGCGCCAACCGTGCAGTAAATTTTGATGCCTTTTATTGTCACAAATTAATTCCTAGGGAGACATGTGTATGAAAAATAGTTTTATTTGTTGTCATGCAGTAAAACAAAGCAAATAAAAGCTTCTAATATCACTGTGTAGATAAATTGTAAATTATTACATTGTTTAAAGTCTTTAATGAGTATTTAATCAATAATGTTGCCGTTCATAAAGTCTACATTAAATTTCGACCTTCCCAATTTATAACACAAGGCAATTGTTCTCTAAGGACAACTAAGCCAGTCCTTATTTTTGCTTGTTAGTTATAATAACATAGAACTAGAGCAGCGATTACTGTTTTGATTTTACACACCTATGAATAACAATGAGATATCCACTTACCATGTAAAAGTATGACAGGGCTGTGCAAATAGACCAGAAAACTGATCCATTCTTCAAACTCTTCAGCCATAAGTAGTAAGTGAACTGCAGGGCAAATATGGCAATACCCTCGTTGTCGTAGCTCCCAGCTACTGAGCGACTGCTGTAGCCGGGTACTATGGCTATAAAGCAGGCAGCAAACAGACCAGCTCCACGAGACCATAGTTCAGATGTCAGCAAGTATGTTGCAATGGCAGTCAAGCCACTAAAAAGGAAAAAACATTACTATGTGTTACTTATCAGATACTATATATGATGATTCTATTTAAATTAATTTTATATTGATGGAGAATTAAATAATGCTAACATGATTCAAAGTTACTCTAGAAAACAGTCACCAAGTTTTATCAATAAACTGAAGCAAGGAGTTTAGATCTGTTTTATCAATAACAACCTACTTTATTTCCTTTTGTAGTTGTAACACTTGTACTTATCAGTGTTATCAGATCTCAGTTCCTACTAGAACCTAATAAAATATAATAATTCAATTTAAGCAAGAAAAATATGAAACAGTTACCTGAACACAGGTGCGAGGAACACACAGATATCCCTAATGTGTATGGGAATGTTTAGGGTGTGGAGGATCCAGTGAATTGTGCCTGATGTGATCATGAGACCAGGGTACACAGTGCCGCCGACGATACGACCCAGTGGGTACCAGGCGCGCTCGTCGAACCAGTTTAGGAAGTTGTAAAACCCATGCTCCACCATGTACGCCGTGGATCGGTAGTTGAACCTATAACACGTTGGCATTAAATGGAGGGAACCTCATCCTCAACAGGTTATCACAAACATATATTTTATTCTCACTCACCATGGGTCAAACTCGTGTATTATACTTTCGAACCGTATTACAGCAAATAGCCGGGATGCGAAACCGGCCAGCCAAGCCAATGACAATACCGTAACAGTAATCAGAGTGCTAAAGCCGGCCGTGTTAGAGAATATTCCTTTATCACTGCCATTGCCCTGTCTCGCAGTTGTTGTCTGCGTCATGTTTAGGGCTGATAATACTATCAACTATCCTAATAATTCACAACAACTATATTTTCATACATCAGTCCCAACAATTCGATTCAGAAGAAAATTGACTTTTTGGATGACTGACGTACGGACACGTCTCTCTTCATAATTGGATTGCCAATTGAAAAAAAAACCCATCGTCAAGACCGAATTGAATTTTCCAAGTCCGGGTTTTGTGATGTCGGACTCCTGGTTATACTGTGTAAAACTGCCTTATTATTACTTAATATTTGATATGGCAATAAAAAGATGAGTTTCTCGTATGTGTGCATCTGTAACAGCGTTACTTTTTGCAGCTGTTTGTTGACGTTGACATTTTGCCATCCATCTCTTCGGACGTAAATAAATTCCAATGAAATAAAGTTAAACACGTTCAATAAATTGAAAGAAAAAGCCGATTGACTAATGTGATTGTAGCAAACTTAAATTGAAAATGTCTAATTATCAAGAAATTGTGAACTTAAACGTTGGAGGCACAAGGTAAGTGTTTTAACAAATAGAAAGTGATTCAATATTTTTGTGTTTCTTTTTTATTTTTGCGAAGTCTCGCTACTCTGCGCTTTGACATTGTACTTTATGAATTATTTGCGCGTAAGATCTCTCACGCTAATTATTATGCGACTATGATCGCGAAACCCATAAAGATAATTATGAATTGCAGGACCACCTCGCAATCGGCATTTTTAATGATTGTGTACAGAAACAATCTACATCTATTGTTTATTTTATTCTTGGTATCTTTTTGACCAGAATGGTTATATTAGGAATACCATTATGGTTATCATTAAGTTTCCAATTCCATGAATAATTTAATATTCAAATATGTAATATTTAATTATGTATAATATGTATAAATATATAATATTTCAATATTATATATATTAATATGTATTATTTAAGTCTTTGACTCCCGATAGAAAACTGTTGAAGGCAATTGCTCTGCTAACATAGATAGTGACCTATGTCAGGTCACCAGCGGGTGACCTACGCGGTGGTTAACATGTAAAATATGTAATATTTGAACTTACATGAGAATATAAAGAAAAACTAAAAAACAAATTAAACAAACTTTCTAGATTCTCAACATCATGGCACACCCTGACCTGGGTTCCGGAGACATTCTTCACTGCCCTCCTCAGCGGCAGGATCCCCACAGTGCGGGATGAGACGGGAGCAATATTCATAGACAGAGACCCCAACCTCTTTGGTCTCATACTAAATTTTTTAAGAACAAGAGACATAGATCTCAACGATGTAAATATAAGGGCACTGAGACATGAATGTGACTATTTTGGCATCACTCCTTTGAGCAGAAGACTGGCTTTGTGCGATGAGATGAACCACTCAACTTGTGGAGATGTACTCTTCTATGGATACCTGCCACCACCACGTAAGTATTTCTTTTTAATAGAGATCAAACAAGCTGCCGTATCACGGTAAGCCATCAGTACCATCCATGGACACCTAGAATACCAGAGAAGTCATAAGTAGCATTATGAAAAGGATTACACTCTTTACTTGAGTCTTTGAAGTATAATAACAAAAATACTACTTACTACCTACAGTTAAATGACAGTGACTCATGACCACGTCCCACAAAAAATGTTATCTAAGTTAAACAGAGCTGAATCACCCAAACCCATTATGTAGGATATAGGTATTTGTATACATGTCTGCTTGGCTCTGATAAATAACTAAAAAGTATAATTTACTAATCTAATGTTAGGGCAACTACCGTGCAATGTTTAGCGGGTTCGATTCCCGCACGAAGCAACTCTGTGTGATCCACAAATTGTTGTTACGGGTCTATGTGGCATGTGTATGTGATATTGTATGTTTGTAAACACACCAAACACACTGGAGAAAATCCTAGTGTGGTGCAAAGTTTAAAAAAAAAACAAGTAATGAAACAAACATTCTTTGGGCTTTGTTCAGTAACTTAATGCTATGTAAAATACTGATTATATTTTAATTTTGATTTTAAGTAACTGTACTTATTTATTTCAAGCGCCGATTTTTCATTCATCGGTTAATTCTTAACTGTAGAATAAAATTGACAGTTTTTAGTTTGGAAGAATTGTCAATTATTGAAAGTTATTACTCAGTTATAATTTAATTGAGCGTTGAATAATCGGCCCTAAAGCATGCAATTGTTTTGTATTTTATTTGAAGGGTACAACTAAATATTTTTCTAACTAAATCTTGAGTAATTTTGTTGGTCCAATCTCATAAGCATGTGCATCACTACTTTTACAAGATATACAAGTTTAATATCATATAACCTTTGTCTACTCTCCAGTGAAACAATGGATGACTTTCCTAAATTACTTTTCCCGCTAAAATAACAGTTTGAGCGTAGTCATCGTACTGATCAAACAATCCTGTTTGATAACATGGCGAGATTAAATTATATATTTATTTTTATGTTATCAGCAATCCATATTGTTTACCTATACAGCTTATCTCAAGTTAATCTTAATTTATATTTCACCAAAACGTAAAAGCTGCGTTAGTCATGCCTTGTTATATGCTATCTATAGATAATAATTAATACCATCTTGGAAATGAGAGAATCGACCTCTAATGACCTCTTATTTTTGCTTCGATAATAATCTTGTTTTGGTTACAAATGCTTGTGCCGCTACGCCAAAATTAACCAGTTCATCAACAAAGATCACCAAGTCATTCGGTTTTAAATTGTTAATCATCATCATCAACAGCCTATAAACGCCTACTGCTGAGCAAAGCCTCTTCTCACACGGAGAAGGTTTGAGCATTAATCACCAAAGCATTACAAACTTAAAATTAGAAATTATAAGCCCAGGTTTCCTCACGATGTTTTCCTTTACCGTTTGTCAGTGGTGTCTGAATAATCTTAGAAAGTAAATATAACTCGGAAAAAGTCACATTGGTACTTGCCGTTGGTAGGTTTCGAATCCGCACCCTCATGCATGAGAAGCGGCCGTCTTAAACCTCCGGGCCACCACGACAACACAATTTGTTAATAATAATAAAGAATCTCTCAAAAATTACTTACTTGCAGTTAACACAGCTCTGCCGAATGGCAACGGTGGACGAAACGGCAACAGTTGCTCACGGAAGAACTCGACAGCTTCAAGCACTGAGGTTGCAGTGAATAGGACACACTCCAGAAACTCTTCGCTCGATCTCCGTACCGTTGGCAGGATACCCTCGCAAGATCAATTAAGGTTTGCACCACCATGTTTTATACTATATATCCACAAACGAATATAGGATAACATCAAACGAAATAAATTCAATGCTTAATATAAAATATCAAAAAACAATATGATTTTTGATAATTTTGTACGATGCATCGTACCGACAACATCGCGATAATGACAATTGTAAGTTTAACGTCAATTTTTTTTTACATCAAGTAGCATACTTTTTTCCAACTGATTTTTTTTCTAAAAATACACAAGTATTTTATTTTATTGTGTGGAAAAATCGAAATAATCTGATTTTGGCTTTGCTTTCATCCAATTTTGATACAAACATTATCTAAGCTAGCTAACTACTTCACACTTAGGGTAAGTTTTCCTCGAAAACTAATTCCTTTAGGCTTTGATCATTTCGATAAGTTATGATAACTTATGTTTGGCACGATTTCGGAAAAAATACAATTATCTGTGTAGGCAGTTGAATATTGAAAATACCCAAGTTTGTAATTTAAAATATCTATATAAGAATAAGAACGTTTATTTGCACGAAGTATGGTAATTACAGGTAATAATAATTATAAAAAAATAGTCCCACATACATCGCCTACTGTTTTCGTATGAGTAATTCTATGATAATTTCCAAATTAAAGTTAAATATCAATATTATTTTGTATGAAAGTTTCAATATTTTATTCATAATCATCGTCTACTCCTTCTTATACAATATAATATAATCTAATATAATGTAATGATCCGCAGTCGTTGTGGCAGAGGACATTCAAGAGCAGCTTCACTCGGTAACGCGGACAGCCACAAGGGACATCGACCGCCAGACAGTAAGTATCAATTACCTACGACAGCGATTCTCAAATGCAGACCTATCAAAATAAAGAAAAAGAAAACATTTATTGACGCGATAAGTGTAGTTTTATTGGTACAACAAGCACCAATAAAAGCATAATATTGAAAGTAAACAGTTTGGTACATACGTCGCTATCTTGGTGGTGAAATGAGTTGATTGATTTTTTTTTTAAATCGGCCGGTAGGCAAATAGCCTGATAGACCAGATAGGCCACTTGATGGTGATCGGTGTCGCCCATTTCGGACAACCGCAAAACGGGTCTTTTGGGGATTTAATATTTTATATTAGTACCACACACACTATACACGGTGGAATTTTGTAATGCCACCTGAACTACTCTTATTACTTAAGATAGAAAATTTTACTCAAAGAAAACATTCCTTTAATTAAAAAAATTAAATAAAACTACATTCAATGATTTATAAAAATTCGCTTGCTGTAGGTACACGGTAATTGAACTGAATAATATCTGTAAAAGTTGCACCCTGTACTTGTATTTTAGACCCTTACGCCGGGTAAGCGTCTAATGATCGCAGCGTTTTATTTTAATACCTGTGTTTTGTACCTATTGTTTTACCTCATGACACAGCTTGGGATTTAAATGGATCTCGGAAGAGGTAGGTGTAAAAATTACTGGCTCCTATCAGAACTGTCTTTGAGTAACACTGTCCTACATCATACATATCTACATAGGCTACAGTCTATTGCCATTATGCCTGTATCACCGTGTAATCAGTGCAATTCAACCCGTGATTCACCCATTGTGCGCCCCTATATATCATTCTATAGTCAATTATGTTGGACGTAACTTATGTTTGTTTAAGTAACATAAAGTCATAACTTTCATGAGAACTTAGTCTGGCTTGTAAGATGCTTTGTTTGTTCTATAATCTCGCTTGGTCTTTTTTCTAAACTCTGCACTGCCTCATTGGCCGAGTGGTTGCAAGTGCGACTGCCGGGAAAGGGGAAAGGTAAACGGAATGCGCCCGAAAAACGCTGACAAAAAAATTGTTTTTACAATTTTACATAATAACGTAACATTACGCCTTTTATCTCCGAAGGGGTAGGCAGAGGTGCACATTATGCCACTGTAGAATGTAACACCCACTTTTCACTATTTATGTTATGAGTCCCATGTAATAGGGGCTGAGTTTAATGTGTGAATTAAATGTTTACGTGTTATTCGTACAACAGCTTTGAGCGGTTGATTACAACTATTAAAAATAGAAGAAACATTAATTCCTTACTTTAATGATAATAAAATGTGTTTCTGACCATCACCTGCGTTCCGTGTTCAACCTGTATTTCAAAAAAATTGTTAGTGCTATATCGTTGATCATCTATCGTTGACATATAATACATATACAAGTAATTCAAGAATTGCTCGTTTAAAGGTATATTTAATACCTTTACATAGATACTTAGATTATCCAGCTTCTACCTTTCCCATGAGACAAAGGCATCAGTTTATCTACATACGTAGATTTGTTAATATTTAACCTGTATTGTTCACAGTGAGTTCCTGGGCAGACAGTATGAAGGTACAAATCATCAAAGCACATCACAACTGGGTTGCCGTTGCATACACACACTTTGTGACTGGTTATAGGTGTGTATACCTAACTTAATAGTTATTACACAAAATTCTATCTTGTAATTTAGTCTAACTGTCCGAAATTGTGGTTTGGTAGATTATAAGTGTATAAGGTTTCATAGAAATAACAAACCTGATTGTCGAGCGCAGCCACCTGTATACAAGGTGTAGTTTTAAAACCGTGTCATTTCTCGGGGGCATGTCACAGAAGTCATAAAGGTTCAATGTAAGAAAAAGTTTCGGACCAATAGTTAAAAATACAGCTATAATAAATCGTTTAAGTTCGACAGTATTTCAGAATAAGCGTCAGCAATGTTTCTTATTGGAGTTTAATGGAATTACGAATAATATCAAATACGTGTTTGAGTTTGTGTGTGTTAATCCGGGTTATAAAACTAGTTATAAGACAGCGGCGTGTAGTTCGCACTTATAGGTTTTCGTAATTTACAGAAATATGAAAAATATTTACCTACAATTTTTTTATTGATTCGGACTCAGAATCGATAGCCGAGTTACATCCTAGCAAATGACGCGGCTTTAAAACAACACCTTTTATACTCAAGATTTGGACACTTATGAATAAGATATTATCATTAATGTGTAGTCAAAAATAGACTTGGTGGCAGCTGCTAAAACCTATCCTTAAATTAAAATAATATCTAAGTACTACTTATAGAAATCCAAATCATATCCATCCCCATCATAATGGTTGGCTACAGTCACACCTGTACGCTTGTCTTCATAGCTTTCTGTCCCGCATAGCAAAACTGTGCAAATCCATAAAAATGGTTTTTTTATGGTTTAAGCCGGTAAACGAGCAGACGGATCACCTGATGGTAAGCAATCGACGTCGCCCATGAACACCTGAAACACTAAGACGTTACGAGTGCGTTACCGGCCTTTTGGGAATTGGGGATTTGAGGATTGTGGAGGTTTCGGGGATTGGGGAGAAAGGGGTAGTTGGATCGCTTACTATCAGGTGATCCGTCAGCTCGTTTGCCTCCTATTCCATAAAAAACATTGTTCTACCTTCTTTTTTCAGATTAACAGACTCGTGTGGTTGGTACGTAGTCTTCCAATCACCGGTCCAAGATTCTGTGATAGAACGAATAGCGTTGAATGCAAAAACCGGTGGCGGCGGGGGCACCTCTAGCGGGAACAACTCTACCGGAACTGACGTCATGCTGGGCATAGCTAGTGGGGCGCATGTCCGACTGTGGGCATTCTCCACACACAGTGAACCTGTTAGACGTACTTTGGTTGGTAAGTAGACAAAAACTACATTTGTATAAAATTTTGGTTTTTGTTGAATTTCCAATATGCTTCAATATTTTCCATCTCGTAAAAAGATGCAGTCATTTATAAAACACTAGCTTCTGCCCGCGACTTCGTACGAGCAATAACAAAAACAACAAAAAAAAGATCAGCCAAATCGGTCTAGCCATTCTCCAGTTATGGCGTGACAACGGAAACGGGTTTCATTTTTACATATAGAAGACTACATTTTGTTCAATATTCGCTTTTGACCTATATAACCTCAATGTGCTCAAAAGCGAAGATAACTACATAACTCATACATACATATCTATATACATACATAACTCAGCCTGTCTCCCATGGGGGTAGGCAGAGACTATGGAACGCTAAGAGCCTAAGATAAGGTAAGATCTGTACTTACCTTGAATTTTTCCCCAGGTACTTTCAACCTAGGCGTTAGAGTAGAGCACCTGCTGTTCGTGGGCCCGCAGCTGGTGGCGCTGAGCGGCGCCGGCAGCCGCAGCAAGGCGGGCGTGTGGCACACCAGCACGCAGCACTGGCAGACGCAGGACGTCGCGCACCTCACCACCTACGACACCGCCGGCTCCTTCCTACTGCTCGGCACTGCCACTGGAGCTATTAATTATATTGGTAAGTAGCATAATGCTCAGCTTTTTTAGGCTTTATTTTTATTAAGGCTACCACTAGGCTTAGTTTCTATAACCTATCTATCTGTAGATTTGCTTACTAGAGATAGAATTTTGACATGAGCTCCATACAAAATGTGTCAAAATTCTATGTCTAGTAAGCAAATCTACAGATAGATAGGTTATAGAAACTGGACGTTAGAGAGCAAGCCTATAATCAGACTCCTGGTGCAATTTATACCTTCAGCCTTACTTGGCAATACAAATTATTATTTGTAAAGTAATGACCTTGATAAATATAATGCTTTTCTATCTACTTATAATATCTAGAATGTGTACATAAAAAAACATTTTACCAAAGACTATGTAGTAAATTGTAAACAACATTTAATCGCCTCCTACAAACCAATGATAAATAATATAACAAACAATACTGCGTGGGTAGATAATCTTCATAAATAATAACATTGGAACAAAATTAAGTATTTTTATCTTACACATATTTTGCTATCACAATTCTTTGTTTACAAAGTTTATCTTAGTAATTACTTTTTACGGCTCAATTAATAGTTACATAAAAATAACACGATATATACTCCATGCGGACAGAGGCATTTTTTTACCAACCTGAACCTTTTACACTGCGCATCTCCAACCTGCTTATCAACAGTGGAGAATTTAGAGATTATGGCAACTTCTTATACACTATGTACTTCTGTATTTTGTTTTCGTCGTCCCGAAGTAAATTGGTTCTGTCTAAAAGAAATAAATTGTTTAAAACAAAAAAATAAGTGTACCATTGCAAAAAGCAAACTTCGAAATCGCGTACGAACTCGTACATTATCAAAACATCATGCCATGTAATTTTCAAAGACGTATTTCTCGTGTTTCATGTGTGTTTTATTGAACATGAACATTTCTTAAAATGAAAAAAAAGACATCTCAATTTTTTTGTTTTTACTTTATACACCAAAAGTACTTCTTCGGGCAAGTTGTTTTGCCGCGGGACGAAAACGAAATAGATTTCACGATTTACACAATAGATAGGCAAAGTTTACGGTAGTGCACTTTGAAAACAACACTATGGCAAACTCGCTATCCACCGCACTGCTTTCCCTGTGGTATTCGCGACGTGTGTAAGCGAATATCGCCTAATGATGGTCGACCGCCAACTTCAAATGTACAAAGAACATTAACATAACATCACGCCTTTTTATCCCCGAAGGGGTAGGCATAAGTGCACGTTACGGCACTTAATGTAACATCCACCACCCATGTACAAAGAAATTGTCTAGCAATGACTTGTCACGGACTGTTCTTTTTTTAAATCTTTATTTATTTAGAGGCTTTTCCCTTACAAAGGTATGTCAGCCTCATCATACCCTAATCTAACTTAACTAACTACATTTAATTATAATTATATATTTATTGCTAACTTACCTTACTTATTCCTGTGTAAGCAAGGGGGATAGTGCAACTTCAAATGTACAAAGAACATTAATATAACATCACGCCTTTTATCCCCGAAGGAAGAGATGCACTATACGGCACTTATTTACACCCCCACCCATGTACAAACAAATTGTCTAGCAATGACCAGTCACGGACTGTTGTTGAAAACCGTTCACTCGATTTAATTGGACGTCTGTTTAAAAATCTATTTTTTTTTATATTTCAGACATGCAAAAGTTCCCGCTACGTATGAAAGACAACGATCTCTTAGTGACGCAGCTCTATAAAGATCCAAATCAAGAACCAATCACAGCTATATCAGTTTATCTCACACCTAAAACAAGTAAGTAAATAATGCCGTATTTCTTATAGCATTAGGATCAAAATTGCAAATTAAGAATCTATTGTATCAAGAAAGCTTCGAGGTAACATATAGTATGTAACTACTTTGCATTATTTTCGTCTATTCTTGCATACCCTAGGTAATATTAAGTCGTGCTTAAGTATAGTTCTGTCGCTACAAGTTCTTTGTAAAATGACAGAGATGGCACGATATTTAAGTACAACTTACAATTGGGATGATGACAGGGTATGGAAATTAAAAATCTAATTAGTCCGTAACTTAGGTAATGAAAAAATATTAGACACGTATATTTTTTTATTTCGTCGTATAATAAAACAATACTTAGATAAAACTAATCAAAGTTTAGGAGTGGGTGTTAAACGACATTTCTACGTATAAAATGTACATAGAAGTGACGTCACGCGACATTTCAAATCAATATATCGTCGAAAGTATTCGTATCTATTAGAAAAAAAAATACGTGTCTAATGATTTAAAATAATCTACCAGACGGACATTAAAATAAAAATTAGGCATCTACCCTATTCAGTAGCCTTTTAGTAAACGGGTGTCAGTAGTGATATTAAATACTCTACCTATATCCTTCTATTCATGGATTATTAATATTTTATGTTTGTCAAATAGATCTATGTGGCAACTGGATAGAGATAGCTTACGGCACGCGTTGTGGCTCGGTGCGCGTCATAGTACAACATCCTGAGACGGTTGGCCATGGACCGCAGCTGTTCCAGACCTTTACCGTGCACCAGAGTCCTATCACTAAGGTAGTGTATACTTTCTATATTTATTAAAATAACTTGTTAAGCTAACTTTGTATGCATATCAACAAAATTTACACGAACAGAGCAGACATATATATAACTACTAGCTTTTACCCGCGGCTTCGCTCGCGTCACAAAAGGATAAAAAGTAACCTATGTGACATATACCAATACATACAGCGCCATCTATACCAATACTTTTGTTTTTCCTCGGGAATATCAAATTTTTCCGGGATAAAAAGTACCTTATTATTTAATCCGGACTTCTAACTTTACGTCTGCAAAAATTCAAAGCAATCGGTTTAGTAGTTACAGCATGAAAGCGGAACAAACAAACAAACAAACAAACTCACTTTTCGATTTATAATATTAGTAAGGATAATCTTTTGACATTGTACCTATATTTTGTTAATGCGACTATTTTAATTTCTGTAATCAATTTAATAAGTACATAGCATAATATTGATTTTATTTTATATAATTTAATTTTTTTTAATAATCTGTTAATTCATATTTGCATGCTTCCTGGTAAAATATGGTTGAGCTCACAATGTACCTAAACACCACAAATTGTATTACCTATATTTGCAAATAAACTATCTTTATCTTAGACAATAAACCTTGTTCTCTTCAAAATTCGTTTAGCTCACAAATATCGATCTTTTGTAAAGAATAAATACTGATTCTTTAAAAATTTATGCGACACGATGCATAGGGATTATTACATCTTTAAACTGTCAAACACCAAGCGGTCACCGGTGACCGCGACCTATTGTTCTTTAATTGTGTCTATAAATACGGTACTCGACGAGTTAAATAGGAATGAGCAGCAGTAACCGTATTTCGTAATGATAAGAGTAAAAATTAAGTGTAGTATAATGATATATTGAACCTTTTTGCACCTTCCCAGGTATCTCTATCCGAGAACTACCTAGTATCAGTATGCAGCGAGTACAACCACGTGCGAACATGGCGAGTCACTCGCTTCAGGGGGATGATCTCAACCCAACCGGGAACTACGCCCAAAGCTGCCTTCAAAGTACTGGCTCTGGAAGCTCCTACTGCACAGCCTCATAATGATTGTGGTAAGTTATCACCAGTGATCAGAAAAAAGTGAGCTAATTTACCTAAACTTCAAGGAACAAAGACAAAAATCCACTTTTTTGAAAACAATAAAAGTTTTAATTTTGTTTGGTTTTGTGTTAAATTTAAGAAATAATATATATAAATATCCCGAAACTGGAACCGGAACTTTTCCGAAAAAAATATTGTAGTAAGGAAGTCTCCAGTTTTTTTTTGTTCCTTGAAGTTTAGGTAAATTAGCTCCCCTTTTTCCGAACACTGGTTGTCACCAAAGAATTTTGCTATTACTTCAGAAAACCTATATTTTATTTTACGAGGTAACCTGACTAATTTCAAGCTACGCCCCTAGCTCATAGTTAGCAATCGACAGCATTAACTCCGCGACTAACGCCGTATCGTTTTTCGAGCAATGCTGCTTAAATACTCATGACTATAAGCTCCCGGCTTGAAAATAGTCTAGGTACCTCGTAAAAAACAATCAAGTAAAATAAACTAGATCATAATAATTTTATTATCGTGAGGTATCACGATAGTAATAGAAGTAGTACGATAGCAACTATCATATAAAATATAGCAACTAGCTTCACTTAAGTTTTTGTTGTTGACGTTCAAAAGTGCCTTCTTGGTCTATTTGAAATAAATGATTTTGACTTTGACAGTAATGAAGATATTAAGACATCAATCATAAAATGCCGTTAGACTATTAATTAACTACCTCTATTCTAGAATATTGTGTGATTTCTATTGTGTTATATTGTTTTTATTTTTACTTTCAGGCCCGTACGGTGAACAGGACGAAGAACAAATATTTATTCAAAAGGTTGTTCCTGACACAGACACGTTATACGTTCGACTAGCTTCGAATGGTAAAAGGTAAGGAATAAGCCATAGTCCAACGCGACTTTGCTACTTGTATTCGTATCTTTAAAAAATCAACAACGCATCTAGTGATATGGCTGTCCATGAAACGGCATAAATCGCCAACCAACCGAAAATTAAAAAAAACTAAAATTTTAACAGTGTCAATTTTTGTACAGTACCTAACCCGACAGTGGCGCCACCAATAAATCCCCCTTTTTTCTCTACAGGGTGTGTACAATACGTTCAGTGGACGGGTCAGCGGTATCTTGCTTCGTAGTAGCGGAGTGCGAGGGAGCGTTGAGGCCTCGTAGACTGTTGCTATGTGGACATAGGTCGGGGGCCACTCAGATGTGGGACCTCACGGCACCCATAGACAAGGCTGTTAAGCTGCAACCCGTGCCTGGGAGTGGAGGTATGGATATATATTGGAGTTTCTTGCTCGTTCTACACCTTGGAATGAGCCAATAGCTTCACTTTTAATTTTTTGTTGACATTCAAAAGTGCCATTCTGGTCTAATCGAAATTAATTATTTTAATTTTTAATAATTATGTGTTTACTAAATGAATGAAAAAGCAGTTTATAAATTATCATACAAAATCAGAGGAAAGTAATGAAGTCTTCTAATGATATCTTTTGAATTAATTATTTTAATTCATTACGGGATCAAAGTCAAATACTCATGGCTCTGGGACGCGCCGCGGACTTCAATTTTCGGTGCTTTAAGGTTGTATCTGCTGTTGACCTTGGCACATAGGAGTTGCAGTCATTTGAGAGACTCAGAGCTGTGTACTTAAAAAATATTGACTTGACTGCCTCGTTGGCTGAGTGGTCGCAAGTGCGACTGCCGGGCAAGGGATCTCGGGTTCGATTCCCGGGTCGGGCAAAGTATTACTGAGTTTAAAAAAAATTCTCAGTAGTAGCTCTGAGTCTGGAATTGTGCCCGGTATATGGCAATAAGCTCACCCCCTATTACATGGGACTCATAACATAAATAGTGAAAAGTGGGTGCTACATTATACAGTGGCGTGGATAAGAGGCGTGATGTTATGTTATGTTATAAAATATTACATTTTGTCATTTTTCTCGTTTCAGCAACCGATAACGAGGAATCTCAAGCGCCTGACGGGGGTCCGACTCCAGACGAGTTAGTCCGTTTGTTGTCGGCATGTGACTTGGACGCGACGCCAGTCCCAGTAGTCCCCCAGTCCCCCAACCGACCTATACAGGCGCCATGAAACATGGCTGCCAGCGTCTGCGGGACCCTCCTCAGGTTTTACTCATTAATCGTCAACGCTTGACTTGATCTGACTTTTCATTTCGTGTTTCGATTTAGGCGCTATATTTTCGGAACCAATTTTTATTGGTCCATGCTGTTATGGGGGCTACCGTATTTTTAGCTCTTCAGATAACGCTAGACTGGACCTCACATTACAGAGAATTAACTAGGGGCGAATTGGGTACTTTCCTTAATCAAAAATTAATTACTTCAACTTCAATGTTCAGAACTTATACAACAGAAAAAATAATCACACTTTCATTCATTAATTTTATGACCAACTTAATTTTAATATTATTCCAGCAATTTAAAAAATAAATAAATATGCTGTTTGACGCTAAAAAACGTGACATCACAATACAACAATCACAATACAACAATCTCATAGGAAATTGTCGTTTTTACAGTTCGAAAAAAGTATTGAATTTGAATAGTTAGCAAGTACCCAATTGGACGATCAAATTTTGACAAAGACAGTGAATAAAACAGACCTCTTAGCGCTATCTAGTGAATAGAAATCGGTCGCCCCCATTGTAAAGATACGCCTCTTTGTGCTTTCCCTATTTCGATAGGAAATGTGTGTTCTATGGTAAAAGTAAAATGTTGTATCTCCGAACATAAATATTCGTTTTTGGATAGTAAGTTTTATCCCAAATAAGCTTTTACTGTTGTATATCATATGCTGTAAAATTTCGTGTAAATACTGATGTCAAAGCGTGTGTATTGTGTATAGTATTGAAATCTATTTTCGACTAAATTTAAAATCGATTGCCAATTTTTGCCTTAAATACACTCATGGTATCTGACTTAGTTTTTGTATGATGTATCGGGATTGTTTAGATTTCCTTCATTAGAATGTAAATAAATTGCAAATTTCATTGTTAACGTGTCCGCCTAAAGTTCATTTTTCATTGCACCGTTGTTGTGGAATTTCGCGACAACATTTTGATATTTTGTCAGTACTTTGACTGTCATGACTGCAGAGAATATGAGAGACATGTGTACATCTCTTTCTGTGTTACCTAAACTCATATAAATCTGTCTCTTTTTAATGGGGAATGTTTTTGAGCGATAGCAAGAGCGATGTATCTACGTCATTTTAAATCCGCGCGAGGTAAGTTCAGTAAAGCTTGTTTATTATTATAAGCTCGTATATTACAGGGTTTTGTTATAATATGTTTAATGGTAACATACAAGAATATTGCGTTATACAGCGTTCCTTTAAACACTTTTATATTGAGTTCAATCTTCGTCCTTGTCTTACAGTTGTCGTTTTTTAAGTCCCACACTGGGATTTGCTCCTGTGTCGTGTGTTTACAAACATACAAATTCAACATGACACCCAGACTCTGAACAACTATTTGTGGATCACACAAAGAGTTGTTCCGTACGGTAATTGAAACGTATCGAAGTTTCGCTTAAGTGCCTACTGCGAGTTTGTGTTATGTCAAGACGATCGACACGTCTATGACGTTTGGCGTTCTAATTGGCTGTTCTAATTTGACCAACCAATCAGAGGGTTATACGCTAACTTTTCTAACTTAAAATAACTCTTCATACTCTGAATAATCTAAGCTAATCTGCCTGAATAACGCAATATTTATGTATGTACCTATTCGATAGGATTTTTATAGTCTCGAACCTATAATCATATTTATTTATAATAAGATTCATGTCTAATATGAGCCATTTTGTCAAGTTATCGAGTGCAAAGTTTAAACGTGTGGTAAGACTGATATTTAATTCAAAAACTCAATCATACATGAATTTATTTTGACCAACCTGAACTCTTAATTAGGTACAAATGTATGTATATGTTACTGAAATTAAAATAACATAAATTTGATCGTTTATGTGAATATTTCGTTTTGAATACGGCATATAGAGGTAAAGTTATATTGAATGCATTTAATGGTGTTGACTTCGCACAGACAAATCTCTATTCTACTTCAACTGGGTAAGGTTATTTTTCGTATACTTTCAAACCATCGTGTGTAGGTAGCAGCTAGTTCATTCGATATTTGAAAAAAGTTCGTTAGCTTTAGAAAAATTAAATGTCTATTTTTGAAATTACTGTATTTAAAATATCATATCAATGTTTAGAATAAATACTTAAATATTTAGGGTGTTGCTGGATGTGTTTCAAAAGAATATATTAAATGTTGTGGCTTTTTAATAATAATTGCTACGATTTAGTTTTTAATGTTGGCAAGGGTTGCCATTTCAAAGGATCGAGGTCGATCGTAGCGCCCCCTATTCACTTTTATCTATTGTCAAATAAAAAATCGAACATGTTTCTAAAATGTTAAAGGCCATAAAAAGAGAATAAAGTAAGGAAAAAATTAAAAAAGCTTTGAATAAAATATTAAATAATGTAGATAGATTATGTAAATGTTTTTTTAATTTCTTTTTCTGATTGACCACATTCAATCTTTAGGTATTTAAAACTTTTTAAATTTTCACACATGCTATAAAAACGACTGTGTTCGCTGTGTAGCTTCGTGTAAACTATAAGTGGTGTATAAGCCTAAATAATTATAGATAAAAAAGTATTAAAATATATTTTCTGAACGCATCGTACTTGGTTCGAAGTGAAGTAGATTTTTGTCTATAGTTTAAATTCTATAATCTGTGTCTTAATGAGTGTATGCTATTTATGGTGTAAATTAGAATGAAATTAGATTGTTCCTAGATGATACAAAATTATGTATATACGGAGTAAATTAAAATATTTACGTATATTTTGGAGTTTCATTTTATATTATACTAACTAAATTATTACCCTCAACATTTATCAAATTTCAGGCTGACATGAATTTCTGATCTCTAAAAGCAGTACCTAACTCCCATAAAAAAAACTAAAAATAACATATTAATAATGATGTCCAAATACTCAAACGCCATTCAATTTTAATTCACGCTTAGGTATATTACTGTCAGTACAAATCATTTGTATAAATGACAGAAACGGCACAATATTTAAGTAAAGTTTAAAAATGAAGCTTTCAGTAAGTGACGTTTGGCCACTATACCGCATGGTGGTAAGCGCAGATGTGGCCGACAATGATTGGCTTTTGATGTTGATCTACCCACTCCCTTCGTCTGGATAGATTCCAATGATGTTCATTCACATTGACTCGAGTGTAATAACGCTCACTGACAAATAGGTAAAAGAATTAAAGAATAAATAAATAAAACAATAAATGGTTGATCATAACGTAAATTTATTGTATGACAAGTAATCGTTGTTTAACAAACATGCGTCACAAATCATTATTATTATTATTAAATATTAAAAACATTACATCAATTGACTAGTGAGGCACACGTTGCTATGTACCCATGCGTGCAAACCCTGTCTAAATTATTATTTTTATGTATTTACAGTAATATCGAACTTATGGCACACACAATAGGATACAAATTAAGTTTCACGAAATGGTTGATTCAAAAATTTTTATAGACATAAATTAGTGCACACTCAAGTATTAAAATTGAAGATAGATGTGAAATAAACACACGCCATGAAGAATTTACATTATCACAGACTCGAAAGTGAATCTGAAATGTCAGAGCAAATTCACTCTTATCTCCGCACAGTAATACACATTTTTGTTTCAGAGATAAAAATCAGCATCTTGTTTTCTCAAAAGGAATACAGCACTTTGTCCCTGCATTGGTTAACCCTTCCATGTGAACTGGACTTCATTATACGAAACGAAACGAGATTATATTCAAGTTTACAACAAAGTTCACTTTTAACCTATTATATTGAAATATATGCTACTTATTAACTTAAAAAACTTAGATTTTGTGTTTTACTTTCGAGAATTTAAAAATATAGTAATTTTTGGGTACTGTTGCTTGATTTAGAAACTGTGACATCATCTTTTGCAATTTTAATACAATAATAATATACATTGCAATGTATTGTATTTTTACTACTTATTGTATTTATTGTGCTTAGTCGTAAACTACTATATAATCTCCTCGCCATATACAATACAAGTGCCAATCATACAAACGATATACTATTAAATAAATACTTTAGCACACTTCTATAAAATAATGCACCTTTCAAACATCGATTTCTGTGATAAAAACGAATGCACCTTAAAACGATTACAACTAAACATACGTCAATAATTAAGAGTCATTTAAGTAATCCTAATAGGGTAGACGACTAATTTTTATTTTAATGTCCGTCTGATAGATTATTTAAAAACATTAGACACGTATTTTTTATTTTCTCACAGAAACGAATAGTTTCGAAGATATATTGATTTGAAATGACGTCACTTCTCAGTACATTTTATACTAAGGAATGACGTTTTAGCCCCCACTCCTAAACTTTGATTCGTTTTATCTAAGTATTGTTTTATTATACGACAAAATAAAAAAATACGTGTCTAATATTTTTTCATTACCTAACTTACGGACTAATTATATTTTTAATGTTCATACCCTGTCATCATCCCCATTATCAAAGTAAGTTTTTATCATTACTACATTTGCTTCAAATAGTTAGACTAGCAACATATTAATTTAAACTTTATAGTCAATTTTTATTTTTTAGCCACATTTCATTTAAGAATCGTCTAGCACCGCAAGCTTGGTTTATTTTTCAAATTAAGTAGGTAATTTGCTTGTAGGTGTAAACTATTCGTTTAAAGCTCTACTAATTTCAAGTCACACGGGACCCATATTTATGAGCAGCGTACTTGTTTGCGACTGGTTCACTAAGTATTTTGTAGCGTGCATACACGTAGTGACGCCAGGTGACACAATTGGTACTACTTGAAGGTGTATTTTGAGATTAATTTAGTACGTCTCAAGATTCTTATTATACAAAAACAAATAGCATTTGTTACTTCAAAGAAATTATATTATATTATTTGAAACAAACGTAGATTGTAGACCAAGCAAGACACACACACTTTTAAAGTTACTTATTTCTAAAACTAGCGTTCTCTCGGCGACTGAGCTTGTTCGCACACGACGGCGTATCATGGCCGTATAAGCAGGACGCACTTTCGACTTAATGACCACAAAACTTTCTTATTGATGAACAGAAGCATTGCATACCAACGAAATTATTTAGTATACATATATAGGTACAAATATAAGAAACTGATCAAGTACAGTGACAGTGTTATTATACTGCTTTTAAGGATTGGCACGCTCAGTAGCTAATGTTCACTGTGACTGCTGAACTGAATCGTCCTTTATTTGTTACCTAATAACTTGGCTAGATTTGTAGTATCCCAAAGTTACGTTTGCTCTACGCGCGTATTACTATGTTCCATGTGCGAACAGGCTTAGCCTACCTTTACGTGTCAATCAAGTCATTATAACTATGTAGGTATGCAAAATTTCATCAAAATCCTATCAGCCGTTTAGCGTGACTCAGCAACAAACATACAGCATTTATTAATTTGTTTTATTACAATTAGTAGGAATTTAGTTTTACTATAATTATTGTGTTGTTTTGTTAACATATATGAGTAATAGAACCATTAGACATACTTATAATTACATTGTGATTAGCATTCAGAGGTAAATTATTTCGTTAGAAATACTGCTTACTTTTTAATTTTAGTTTTAATTTTTTTTAATTACGGCAACACCTTCGCTACAGATGATAAAAAGTGTCATATTTGTTTTATTGTCTCTAATGTTTTATAATTCGATCATGAATTGTCGAAATTTAAAAAAAAGCTGTACAAAGAATAACGATTTTCCGATTTTGAGCAGCTAATGTAAAATGGACCATGAATGTTACCATAAATAAAAAAGTAACTAAACATTAATGTTTCTTATCAATAAATATTATATATTAAAATTAGTAAATTGTTAACAGAACCTTTAAAATAAATGAAAAACCAAAACTCTAGTCAATAATTCGATGAACATTTAAGTTTATCAACTAGTTGTAACATGACTAAAAACCTGATAGGTTACTAGAATTTTAACTTCTTCCACTTTTCCCACAAGGAAACCATAACATTTCTTTACGTAGTTTTTGTATATTTTAATTCATCAATATCATATAAAGCTGAAGACTTTGTTTGTGTGTACGCGCTAATCTCAGGAACTACTGGACAGATTTAAAAAAATCTTTTTGTGTTGAATAGTCAATTTATCGAGGAAGATTATAGACTATAAAACATCACGCTACGACCACTAATCACCGAGCAGATCAGAAAAATCGCGGAAGTAGCTAAGTCAAAAATAAAATTAAAAATGAAATGTGATTTATGAAATTCTTAGGCAATCGACTTTCAAAATATACAATATAGAACCTTATTTATGATTGTAATTGGTTTCTTAAGCGTGACTACACTGGTACAAAAATACTGGCTATTATTGTGATGTATAGGGATGATGACAAATGATATATATATTGGATAAAAATATTAGACACGATTATAGATTCTTATTGAAAAATTACTTTCGACAAATATGTATTATCGATTGCACGGTTGGCGCGTTGGCTGGGCAAACGTGTAGCAGGTTCCCACACGAAGCAACTTTTTGTGTAATCCACAAATTGTGAACTTATATGTTTGTAAAACCCACGACATTAGACAAAATCCTAAGTTGCCTCACTCGGCAACTTTTTTTTTAACATAAACATTGTTACATTTTATACTAAACGATGATATAGTAATATTTTTTTATATAGATGATATAGTAAATAAAGGCCAAGAAAACAAATACGAGTCTAATATTTTTTCATTATTTGAATGATTGTAATATCCTGTCATCATTCCTATTGGAGTATATTCTATCTTTATTTTGTATATTAGGTGAATTGGTATAAAGGCCACTGATATAAATAAAATCATGTTTCCCAATGTAATCTGTTGTCATAAATATCTGGACTAGTTAGAGGTGTAAGAAGGAAACACCATAGGCCGAATCCTATAAAGAAATTGCATATAATAAATACCCGTTGTAGAGGTGGGAACTCGACTATTTCGGTGAAGTTCGGAAATCCCATGTGATTGCAAAACATGTGGGCGACTAGAGGAGCCATGAAGTGTCCTGTAAAAATAAATATAGGTAAGAAATATACAAGAACTTTTTATATTTATAAAGCAAATATTATTAATATTAAGTGGTACTTAAGTTGAATCATGAATAGTAGGAAATGGGTTATGGGACTGATAAGCAAAAGGTGTCGAATTCGGTTCTTAGTAAACACGCAACTTATAACTATAACGCAACTAATATATATAACAAAACTGGAGAAACAGGAGACGGATTATATAATAACTGGAGATTATGGTATGATGATGTTAAAATACAAATTATTAATATTCATTGGTTAAATTGTACGCACCTGTTCTCACAAACAAATACGCTGAATAAGCACCAAACAAACTGGTATACATAAACTGGAATGCTGAAAAGAAAAACAATAATTAGAAATGTCTATCAATCCTTCATCATCGGCTTATCAACGAAAAGAGAAGACTATTGACCCTAGACCACATCAATTACTTCTGAATCAGTCAGTTGTAAGTGTAAGTGACCTGAGGGCGCTTTAGGCCCTCTGATTGGCTGGCGCCAATGAACCAACCAATCAGAGGCCTTAATATGAGTTTGTTTTATGTTTAAAGCATTCTAAACGAGATCGCTCGTTCTTCTCCATTCGAAACTACACTTTGGAACGACCGCCTAGCTTCACTGACAGACAGACGGACGGACAATAGGGTAGTTGCCAGGGTAAGAAAATTAAAAATCTAATAAATCCGTCAGTTAGATAATGAAAAAATATTAGACACGTATTTTTTTTATTTTCTCGTGTAAAGTTACAATAGGTACCTACTTAAATAAAATGGAGTTAAGTTCAGGAGTGGGAGGTAGTTACGTCACAACATGCTACATTGTGTAGCACGCTGTGACGTCACACGACATTTCAAATCAATATATCTTCGAAAGCATTTAATTTTGTGAGAAAAGAAAAAATACGTGTCTAATGTTTTAAAATAATCTACCAGACGGACATTAAAATAAAATTTAGAAAACCACTCTATTAAATTTTTTGACGTTTCAAAAGTGCCTATTAAGGTTTAATTGAAATAAATGCTTTGACTTTGCCCGCGTTTGACGCTCTGATTGGTTGGTTCATTGAAGCCGGCCAATGAAAAGGCCGAACGCGGTCTTGTTTAGATTACTTTAAACGTACCTAAAACAAACTCAAATGAAGCTCTCTACATCCAGCTGTATCCTTACCAACTAATAATATAAAATCGAAAGTATGTTTATTTGTCTTTCTTTATATTTGCAATTTATATGTCTCTACACGTCTGTCATTAAATTAAAATTAATATGATGGAAAATGTACACACTTGTATTCTTTAACCGCTTGAATGCCCGAATACAAGTCACAATAGAAAATATATTGTGTCTCGCGTGGATCCACGTTTAGACACGATGGGTTAATTAAAAGGTAAACCTGGGCAATATGAAAAGATATATATATTATTTTAATATTATAAATAGTGACTATGTTTTTCCTGTTCACATGGAAAATAAACTGGTATTTATTGCAATATTATCTAACTGTTTCTGCTTGTGACATGACTATGACATAAATAGATACAGCAAAAAGAATGGCAATGTTTCCAAATTAAACATCGGAGCAAAGAAACAGAGCTACTACTAGTATTTTTTTTTAATTTGTACACCCTCTACAACTTCAAAAAATATATATTCCTCGTACAAAAATTTGCTCTCATTTCTAAGGCAACTAAGTAAATTGCCTTTTATACGACATACTTTACCAAAAACAGTTTAAGACGCCCGCTTTTCATGAATGAGGAAGCGTGTTCGAAACCTACCAACGGCAAACCTTCTCCGTGTGAGAAGAGGCTTTGCTCAGCAGTGGGCACTTATAGGCTGTTGATGATGACGTTACCAATTAATAAAATACTTGTATCACAAAATATTTATCAAGAAATGAAAAAAAGAAAAACGTTAGTAGCTCCGTTACTTTGCTCTCAAGTGTATATGCAAATATTTTTCGTAAACATAAAATATTTATTTCAAGTTTCATTTGTAGAAGTTAAAATTTTTTACACTTTTCTTTCTTCAAAGAACGATTTAATGTACCTACCTAAATCACATTAGCTTCTAACTCTGTTGTGACACTATTCCCAATTAGTTTAATATTGGAGAGGCCCTTCTAATGAGTAACAGATGATCATTATGTCGTAACAATTGGCTAGACGTACTGAATACTTGCCAAAATTATTCTACTACAAAATTACCTAATGCTTTGTGCTTTGCACTATGCTAGTATTTTATGTGAGCAGCGAGTGTTTAGTAAAACCCTCTCGCTTTTGTACCAAAAACGAAGCGAGAGAGAGTAACTAAATAGTTATTATGACAGTTATGTACATATTATGTTTTGATTTTTATTTTATTATGACCTCAATTATTTTATTTTGACCTCAATTATTTTATTTTGACCTCAATTATTTTATTTTGATTGTAACTATTTCATTTTGACTTTTATTCATTAATTTAAATTCGATTATAATTATGTTACATTTAAGATATTTGAAGATAAAATTTCAACTATATTTTTAAAAATGTTAACTTCATTTTATCAAATATTGCTGTACCCTTACGGGGTCCATAAATGTAACTTAGCTTTAAGCGTATTGTAACACCTTACCTTATTCTCTTTATGGTATACAAATAAGAAATAAATGAATATAAATCCTTATCCTTACTAATATTATAAATCGGAAAGTGAGTTTGTTTGTTTGTTCCGCTTTCACGGCGTAACTACTAAACCGATTGCTTTGAATTTTTGCAGACGTAAAGTTAGAAGTCCGGATTAAATAATAGGGTACTTTTTATCCCGGAAAAATTTGATATTCCCGATTGAAAACAAAAGTGTTGATATAGATGGCGCTGTGTGTATTGGTATATGTCACATAGGCTACTTTTATCCTTTTGTGACGCGAGCGAAGCCGCGGGTAAAAGCTAGTATGAATATATACTCGCTACTTGACTAAAATTAAAAATACTAGCATAGTGCGAACAAGGCATAAGGGAACAACACAGTAATTGTAAGCTTCTGCCAGTGGCATGGCCCATTGAACTCGGATAAAAAATAGCCTCTCTATTATTCTAGACTGTAACCTATCCCTGTGCTAAATTTCAAATAAATCTGTTCAGTAGTTTTTGCGTAAAGAGTAACATCCATAAAGCTTCACAACATTCTTCATTTATAATATTAAGACTTTGACTTACAATAAAAAACTGTTGAAGGTAAATCCTCCGCTAACGCCGGTCACCGGTGACCCCCATGGCGTTTAACGTGTTAACAGGATGAGAAGTGGACTTAGCTAGTGTGTTTAAGGGCCCAATTTGATCAAAATGATGTGATTAAAAATAAAATATGCAATGAAACAGTTAAATCTTATCTTATAGTTATTATATAAAAATGAAGAGTTTGTGTGCTTGTTTGTTCGCGCTAATCTCCGGTACCAGTGGTTCGAATTGAATAATTATTTTTGTGTTGGATAGTTTATTTATCGAGGAAGGCTACGGGCTATAAAACATCACGCGTCTATGTATAGTAGCCGAGTAGTGCGGGTGAAACCGCACGGTAGGAGCTAGTTAGAACTGTATACACAGCAATACTATCAATCTGTATTCCTTATAGCTAAACTCTCCCAAAAATCATCACCATCAGCCTGTATTCGTCCACTGCTGGACATAGGCCTCTCCAATGGCAGGCCACTGAACTCGGTCTTCAGCTCTTCTCATCCAACCACTGCCAGCCACCTTGCGGATGCTGGAGGGCGCCCTACACTACGTTTGCCTAGACGCGGTCTCCACTCTAGAACGCGTTTACCCCAACGGTTATCGGTTCTTCGACAAATGTGACCGGCCCACTGCCACTTCAGCTTACTGATCCTTTGGGCTATGTCGATAACTTTGGTTCTATGTTGGATCACTTCGTTTCAGATTCGATCCTTCAAAGAGACTCCTCCCAAATATATTTAGGTAAATTTGACTATTAGAGATAAAATATTCACACAGGTAGTTAACAGATTTTCAACTTTATTGTTTCGTCATAAAGTCTATTTTTTTTTACATTTCAGATTGTAATAGTTTGATATGGTTGTACCTTCATAAGTAAATAATACAAATAACTTACTTGAGATCATGACAGCTGTTTTCAATTCAGAGCCAGCTTTCATCTGTTCAAAGATGTGATGGAAATGGGCTGAAAAGGAAAAATATTGAAAATTAAAAAAGTGAACATTATTTCTATAAAGGGTAGGTGTATATCAGATGCAAGTAAAGAATAAAGAATTTATAATAAAGAGGCCTTTTAACATATTGAGTGCTTTGATTGGCCGGCAATGAACCAATGAATTAAATAAAAAGAGCTGGATAAGAACTTGTTTCAATTACTTTAAACATGAAAGAAACTCGTACTAAGACCTCTGTGGCCCAGCTCCAGCCCTCAGGGGACCACAGATGACTGGTACAACTACTTGTATTCAAAAATAGAATATTGGAAATTATTTATACTAACTACACCCCCTAAGATTAAACCTTAATAGTGATGTAATAAATCACCCTGTATAGACATAAAAACTTTTTAATATAACATAATTACACTACAGTATTAGCTAAAGAAATAAATATACATAAAAATTACTAATCTATAAGTGCCATGGTAATGTAAGTGATGGAATTAGTTCACACCTGCTTAATCAAATGTTGTTTCATAATATTGTTCTTTCACTTGGCACAATTTCAATTTAAACCTCTTTTGTCAGTTATTATGAAACATTTGTCTTATTTTATCATTTTCAACACTGATTTGTTCTATTATAAAATCAGTTGTTATGACTACTGATAGTGTCAAGGTAATCTCTTTAAATTGAGATTAAAATGACTCCAATATTGATAACATGAGGAAATAGTATTTAAACTTGGATTTTCTAGTAATTTGAACAACAAGTGGCAACGGTTTTACATGATGACTCACCTATGCCAAAGAGTAGGGGTCCAACAAAAACAGCTGTCATAGGGTCGACACACTGTAGTAGTAGAGGTATCATGCAAGCTCTGAACACCCACTCTTCACTCAATGGGGCCATGACATAGTTTCTTACCCACACAAGGTCTTGCCAGCTGGATAGCCAATATATTGGTTCTGTACAGTAGAAAAAAGGTTAAATCATTACAAATTTCCTCAAGAAAATTGCAAAAAATATCACAAATCTAATTAGATTATTGTAAGTTATTTGTTTCATCACCTGCATAGATTTTCCATACTCCTGATAGAAACTGCATGGTTAATGGTCCCAAAAACAATGTGGCAGTCAAGAAGAGTGGCGCAATTATAGCTGGTATAAGACCAGACCATCGTAATCCTAACTGCATGTACAAGTCGCCCTTCTTTAAAGATTCTTCAGTGAAAAAATATTGAATGAAGAACGGAGTTATTAACATTATAACGGATACGCTGAAGAATCTTCTTTTTATTGTAGTTGGATGGTCTCTGAACAAAAGGAAATACGAAAGTAATTAGCATATTATTTTGTTAACTATAAATCAAATAAAAAAAATTATCATGTACCTGCTCAATTTAGTTCTCCATACGTACAAACTCCCGACAAAGCAAAACGTTAGAAAAACACATGCCAAAACCGACCAACTACACTGATTTATAACAAGCCAATCTGTGAGAATCATTTTTAATTTTATAAAATAATGTTCAGTAGGACTAATTACATAAAATATTGTGAGATATTGTACCAAAACAGTCAGAGAGAGACATACTCAAGGCGACAAACAATTTGACATTGACACTATTGACAAACTACTCTCTTGATTTAATAAAATGTCAGTGTCATTCAGTAACAAAAACCTTTACGTTTAGTTGTGGCCATGTTGTGGCAATGGGGAACGATATGAGTTCTTGGCGTTGTTTCATACCTTGATTTCGCAGATAGAAAAATAATGTTGTCACTAGCATTCGTCTCACATTTGGATTTATTTCCTTTTCTACAGTAGTTTTCAAAACTCCCAAATACTTATAATTAAGAAATAAAGTCACTTGTCCAAGTGCCTAACTCAGAGCACAGAGACTCACATCAGACATCAAACTTAATAACCCTATAATTAACTTTAGTTAAACAACGTAACGTGCAATATAAATTATTCTAAAATTATAGAGTGAAGGGAACAATAACTAATTAAGCCATTCTATTAACAAATTAATATAAATAAAGAGTGATTGATTTATAACTTGCAGAACCTTCATAATATGTGTAAATTAGAAATAAACTAAAAGCGCCGGAGCAGAGCAGCACAAAATGTATTATTGTATCAGTAGATTATATTTTATATGCCACGGAGTACAAAAGTTCCTTCCTGGGCACATCAATATCAATAAATTAACTATCGATAAACGTAAAATTAGAATGGAACTTAGTGGTCAGTATTTAATAGTAGGTTGGATAAATGAGAACTAAATTATAAGAACTGAAAATTATCATTGCAAAATGCGCTCAGTTATATTTCTAAAATCGTTAATAATTTGAACGCAACAATAAGAAAAAAACAACTTGTTATTTCGTAGATGGCGCTGCGATCGGTCGCCATGTTAATCCGAAATCCGCCATATTTTGCTGAGAGTCGCCCATCGCTTGAGGGTAGTGTGGATTTTCATCATAATTTATTCAGATAATAATGAATATTATCAGTTTAATATCATAATTTTAGTGTCAGTGATTAGTGTCGTATTAATATAATAATAGAACTCTCGTCTAGCAATAACTAATGTGGTATAATCTCTGTTTCCCGTTTTGTCTGCCCAATCTAATCTAAACAGAAAATGGCCGACGGTGTTGGTGCGGGTGTCTCCTTTGTTTAGGGCTGAATTCTAGTGAAAATAAGTGTTAAAAGAAATAATGCCTAGTGCCTCGTTTTCCTCCTCGCGTTCTTACGTACGTAGATCGCGGAGAAAAGGCGGACATCGGATACCCCTACCTTCTAGGACACAATCGAGTAAGTAATCCGGGTCGGCCGAAGTCGCCCCGATCTTTAGAAATGCTTCGTTATTCATATTTCCTTGATCATGTAACTTTGAGTTTCACGTAAATGTATTATCAAGATGTTAAATTGTTTAATAATGGCTAATTTATACTGCTGTGTTAAAGATTTGACATTCCCATTTTGTGTGAAAATGTTGAAGCTTGGTATTGAATTTTGAATTGGTCGATCATTGTTCCTCGAACATTGATTGACATGTAAATTCTTATTTCACTGTGTTCAAAGTTACATGATGATATCGGATAGCGCATTTCAGTGACATTTTGCGCAATATGGGTATTGATTTGCTAGATGAAAACTTATTTTACTGAGAATGACGAAACAGCTGTTCTGCTACAGAATCGAAGAACAGATGTGTTTGTGTGCAGTTACGAAACCTCTTTTCGTTTCAGTTCACACACATTGAGTGTAGAAGTACTTGTTTATTTTTTGCCTTCCATTTTTATGCCATATCTATATGAACTATGTATTTGCATGACATTGAATCCTGTCAAAATCTAGAAAGGACACTTTGCAATGAACACTGGAAACCTAACTTTATGTATTTATATGCAAATTCATTATGATTTTAGATTAATTTAACATAATGTTGTAGGGTAATGTAGAATGTTGAATGTATAAAGATTTTCTACTACCATGGTGTGTAAACAACTTTAAAGTATTGGATTTAATAAAATAACTACCTGCCTGTCTAAAACCAGTTCTTACTTTTTTTCTTTTGAAGGAAAACCTAACTTGTCAACCTTATGTTATTTATTAATGGTTATGTCAAATGATTTCCATATACCTTTGTTCTCATTAGATTTATTGTTTTATTATTAGTTAAGTCATAAATATTGTCATTGTATAAAAATAAATGTTTGGAAACTGCTAATTATGAAGGACATACAGATATAAGGAAGTACAAAGTTGTGTGTTACTGATATTTTTGCATAATAACTCCAACCTTGTCATTTTGTCAATGCATACCAGTTTTGAATGAACAAACTTATATTGTTATGGTATTATCAATGTTGAATAAAATATGATAACAAATGTAAAGATGCCAATAAGATAAAGGTCTGCCTGACTCCGACTGCCCTGTTTGTCGAGTGGTCGCAAGTGCAACTGCCGGGCAAGGGGTCTCGGGTTCAATACCCGGGTCCGGCAAAGTACTACTGTGTTTTTAAAAATCTCAGTAGTTGCATGGAGTCTGGAAATGTGCCCGGTATATGGCAATAGGCTCGCCCCCTATTACATGGGACTCATAGCATAAATAGTGAAAAGTGGGTTTTACTTCTGTGTGCACCTCTGCCTACCCCTTCGGGGATAAAAGGCGTGATGTTATGTTTGTGTGCTATTAATCCTAACAAGTTTTTGACAAAAGCAAAATTATGAACTTGGTGAAGGTGACATCTAAGAATATTGTGAATACTCATTCAGTTCTTAAAAACTGCAATAAACATGAAATAATCGAATATTAGTCACAACTGAAATTCAATGTAATAAATTGTTTGTTTCAGCTTGACTAGTAGTAGGTACTACATTCATCAAATCATTCATTCATAGTAGTGACTCATTCATCATAACACAATATTAGCCAATACTCCCTAGCTACCAAACATAAAAAAAAAACTAAATATAATGTTTTCAAGATGGCAATTTTGCACACCGATTACATTCAAATCTAAAATAGGTCAAAAGATTTGGCAGAACATCAAACCGCTTAAACTACTTTCTAATATTGCTTTAACAAAGTAATTCTGATGCCTGATTTAAATCTCTTTTTAAATAATTAGAGGCCTTAGTAGGAGTTTGTTTTAAGTTTAAAATTATCGTAATGAGACAGCATGCAACACAAGATCACAACACTCATGCTGTCTCGTTTCCATTACTTTAAACGCACAAAAAACTCGTACTGAGTCCTCTGAACATGTCAACTTTGGTGTCAACAGTCTTATGGGAATTTATTAGAAAGATGTTGGAGCATTGTTCCCATTAGATTAAGTACAATATTAAAATATTTGTGTTTAATTAATTGATTGTGTATCTAGTTTCAGGGCAAACTTTATCAGTAATTAGGTAATTGTCTGGCCAATGTTTATCAATAAAACAGTTATGTTGGTATTTTCCAATGGGCTATCAGTCCCATAAAACTGATAAGTGTTTTGTTTGTAAACAAACTGTATTTGCTTCTGTTATACCATGACCACTTGAAATTCTAGATAAGATATAAATGTCTCAAATCCCACACTTTGTAAGGAAGAAAATAAATTGGCAAATTAGTCTTTGTAATGGATTTGCACATGAGGTGCTTTATGTTTTATTGTACATAGTTAACTTTCTAGTTTATTTTGCAACTTTAATGTTACCTATGTGATTTTTTGCAGATTTATTAGTATTAATGAGATTCAACATTTTTACATGTGTGAATAGTATGAGTCACAGAGATTCATTGATGTTTTATTGGATTCGAAGTAGGACAACACAACACTCTGACTTTATAATTTAAATAAGTTTTACTATATTTGCAGGTGAGCCATGTGAATCAGTCCCTTGCCCCAACAACGTGACGGGCAGCGCGATGGCGGCGACGGCGGCATGCGCGGGTGCGAGCGGCAGCGGAGGTGGTGGCGCCCCGCCCGTGCCCGCGGCCGCTGCAGCCAGCACCCCGGGCCACCACAGTCCTTACGACCTGCGCCGCAAGTCGCCGCCAGCCTACCACGAGCCCGGACCCTCGGGCACTTGCTCTCTACCCGCTAGGAAGAGGCCGAGAACGTAAGTGATATAAGTTTTTATTCATCATCATTATCTGATCTCTCTTCAGAGTCTTGATGGACATAATTTTCTCCGATAGTGCACTATTGAGTTCAATAACCAAATCTTCACATCTAACTACTGCCAGGTCCTACATATTTGAGGAAATTGTGTGATGTACCTTAATGATTCCTATCTTTATTAAAATAATGTGTATCTTTCTCACAGATCTCTATCTCAAGGAGTGGATGTGTGCAATGTATCACAGTACTTGCAGTATGAGTTGCCAGATGAAGTGTTGCTGTGCATTCTCTCACACCTCACAGAGCGGGACCTATGTCGTGTCGCTCAAGTCTGCAAACGGTTCAACACGATCGCCAATGATACTGAACTATGGTAACAACATTTTATTTAACATCACAGTCATACATATGAAAGTCATGTAGAAAGTTGTTTTAAATTGTGAATATTTGGCAACAAAACTTGTGTTCTGAAACATTCATGAATTATGTGTATGTAAACAAGGTATTATTCAATGTGATGTCTCCTTCGAATGGTCTCATTATTGATTGTTGATAATTGTTTTCATTTAAGATAGGGTTTTGAAAGAAATATAAAATTGAAACTCAGTTTTAAAAGAATAAGAAGCGAATAAAAAACTACAATCGAAATATTCAATCAACAGGAAAAGTTTATACCAGTCGGTGTTTGAATACGACATGCCACTCATGCACCCCGCGCCGTGTCAGTTTGAGTTCGTAGCACCCGACGAATGCGATGCGGACAACCCTTGGAAGGAAAGCTTTAGGCAGCTCTACTACGGCATTCACGTGCGACCTAACTATCGCCCCAAGAAAGACTCTCGTATTAAGCACTTTAACACAATCAGGGTGAGTTTTACATGCTGATACTTAGTGACAACTTAACTCTTACCTGTTTCTCATATCATCAACATTAACTTTTGATTAGATACTTAAGAGATAAGAAAATGTTTCAAGTAGGACATCAACTAGTATTTAGCATTGTTCTATTATTGTTTTCATACACAGACATTATCTAATTTCATGAACAAGATTACACAATGCTGTTTCAAATTGACTAATCCTGAACAAGTGAACAAAACGTTAACAAAGAACCATGTGGGTAGGCCGGGTTGGAGTATGTGGAGGAGCGTAGCGGGGGGTCCAGCGCGAGCTCCAGCAGCGCGGGTAGTGCGGCCGGCAGTGTCTGCAGCACCAGCAGCGCTGTCTGTGTCTGCGGCACCACGCCCGCCGCGCCCTGCGCCTGCCGCCGCCCCACGCCGCCGCACGCGCCCGCGTTACTCTTTGTACACGCAGGCCTCTACCAGGAGGAATGCCTGGCCATTGATACAGATGTGCAGCTCATAGGTTAGTATTCTCTACAGTTTCATGTTATTCTGTTCCTTTCATCAGCAAATAGCTTACAAAATCTTAAAAGTCTTAGCCAAAAACTTCTACTTAGTTAGCTCCCCTAGTACAATAATAAGGTTTTTATAACTTTATTATTTAATAAGTAATGACAGCGCAGAACAGATGGATTCTCCCGCCCGTGCTGCTGTCAGTCACGGTAAGCACTAACATAATATTCGGGATGATGTTCACATACTAATTGTGGTGTTTCCTCAGGTTGTGCCCCAGGCAATGTAGCTGAGTCCGTGGTGTTGGAGCGCGAGGCAGAGTCCACGCTGACGTTTGCGGAGGGCGCCAACCGTGCGTACGCCGGTCACATGACGCTGAAGTTCTCCCCCGACGCCACCAGTACCATGCAACACCACAAGCACTACTGCCTGGAAGTATCCGATAACTGCTCCCCCACTGTCGACCACTGCATCATACGGAGTGCTAGTGTTGGTGAGTCACAATACATTTCGTCATAAATATTGTCAAGTAAGAAAGATGGGAAGGTTTAGAGTGGTCTAAAAATATGTTATTGTACAGTTGGAGCTGCTGTTTGCGTGAGTGGCGCGGGAGCAAATCCTGTCATCAAACATTGTGACATTAGCGACTGTGAAAATGTTGGACTATATGTTACCGACTATGCCCAGGGAGCGTATCAAGACAACGAGATCTCACGGAATGCACTCGCTGGTATATGGGTCAAGAATTTTGCCAACCCTATTATGCGCCGCAACCACATACACCATGGCAGGGATGTCGGAATATTTACGTTTGAAAATGGCTTGGTAAGGAATAACACGTGTTTCTTGAAAGTAATCATAAATTAAATTGTGATATTTTGAAAAAATTTAATCAAATAATTTGTTACAGGGTTATTTTGAAGCGAATGATATCCACAACAATAGAATTGCTGGTTTTGAAGTAAAGGCCGGCGCCAACCCCACCGTAGTCCACTGTGAGATTCACCATGGACAAACTGGCGGCATATACGTACACGAGTCCGGTTTAGGCCAGTTTATAGATAACAAAATACACTCTAATAACTTTGCCGGAGTATGGATCACGTCTAACAGTAACCCTACGATCAGGCGTAATGAGATATACAACGGACATCAAGGCGGAGTATACATATTTGGGGAAGGTCGTGGACTAATCGAGCACAATAATATTTACGGAAATGCTTTAGCTGGTATACAGGTAAGGCGTCGTCATTTTATATTGGGTATTAAGAAAAATATGTTTAAAAATACAAGACGGACAATACCAAGTTATTTCAACTATTTAACACCAAATTAAGTAAAACTGTATTTGATTGTTCTATAAAAATCCCAATCAAATTTATACTACAAGTTACCATCTTTCTTTTTTATTGCATCATATTATTGACAACATTGTTTGCATCACACATTACACATAAGTATTATTTCCACCTTCCTCCCTCAAATAAAAATGTAACTTGATGAACTTGTGTATCAGTATAACAGTGAAGACCACCATGAGCCACTGTGTTGGCATAGCCGGCCATCACACTGGACATACAAGGTACTGCCTTCAAACGTTATAACGTACTGCTTTCTAACAGTCACTTCCTACTTACAGATACGTACAAACAGTGATCCCATAGTCAGACACAATAAGATCCATCACGGACAACATGGCGGCATCTACGTTCATGAAAAGGGACAGGGACTTATAGAAGAGAATGAAGTTTATGCCAACACACTCGCCGGCGTCTGGATCACGACGGGATCTACCCCCGTGCTGCGGCGCAACCGTATACATTCGGGGAAACAGGTAACATTCATTACACAAGATACGATTTACTTCTTATTGTAACAATAACTTTATGGAACAAGAATCTAATAATAACATTTTTTCAGGTCGGAGTATACTTCTACGATAATGGCCATGGTAAACTAGAAGACAACGATATTTTCAACCACCTGTACTCGGGCGTCCAGATACGGACCGGCAGTAACCCGGTGATCCGGGGCAACAAGATATGGGGTGGCCAGAACGGCGGAGTTCTCGTCTACAACGGAGGCCTGGGGCTCCTAGAACAAAATGAGATCTTCGACAACGCTATGGCCGGAGTATGGATAAAGACTGACTCCAACCCTACGCTCAAAAGAAATAAGATATTCGATGGGCGAGATGGGGGAATTTGTATTTTTAATGGGGGAAAGGTGAGCGTCTTGAGACTGTAATTTCAGCATGAACAATCAATAAAACAATTTATTACGATTTTACTAAATATGTGCATTTACCTTGCAGGGTGTTCTCGAAGAGAACGATATATTTCGTAACGCACAGGCGGGCGTACTGATCTCGACACAAAGTCACCCGGTGCTGCGACGTAACCGCATCTTTGATGGGCTGGCGGCCGGCGTCGAAATTACAAACAACGCCACCGCTACACTGGAACATAATCAAATTTTTAATAATCGTTTCGGAGGTAAGAAAATTTACCCAATATGAAAAACTCATACTTTTTCAATCTGTATTATCAGGAAGTAAATGTACAAATGTTGTGCAGGTCTATGTCTCGCATCGGGAGTGTCGCCATTAGTGCGGGGTAACAAAATATTCAGCAACCAAGACGCAGTGGAGAAGGCCGTGGGCGGTGGACAGTGCCTATACAAAATCTCATCTTATACTTCCTTTCCTATGCACGATTTCTATAGGTATGTATTTAAAACAATTATAACTAATACTGATGTAAAATAAATATCATTTGAGTTGCAAACTAACTATTTATTTACCACCAATTTCAGGTGCCAGACCTGCAACACGACGGACCGTAACGCCATCTGCGTCAATTGCATCAAAACGTGCCATTCCGGACACGACGTAGAATTTATTCGCCATGACAGGTAGATATACGTACTTTTCACAAACCATGTACTTGCGGTACAGTACCAAATGAATGAATATAATATGTAACGTGGTTTGTATCCTGTAGATTCTTCTGCGACTGCGGCGCGGGGACCCTGTCGAACCAGTGCCAGTTGCAGGGCGAGCCGACCCAGGACACGGACACGCTGTACGACTCGGCGGCGCCGATGGAGTCTCACACGTTGATGGTGAACTAGCGGCCGCGCCCCGCTGCGCCTCGCCCGCCATACCGCCCACCGCGCACAGCCTCGCGTCGGATAACAGTATTCGTCGGAAACCTAATTCTTTTTATTTATTTTTAGGCGTTATTCGCCGCCAATTTTAATGTAGTCGTTCGTCTCCGCGAGTCGCGACTCGCCCTCTTCTAGTTCAATTATTTTTATTATCTAAAACTTGATATGAGTATTGTATATCCTCGTTAGGGAGCCGCCGCCTGTGCACTCCCGCGTACACGTGTATCCGGCTGATAATGTATTTTCATCTTTGTACTTTATAGTTGACGAAAGTAATCATATTTCGGACATAACGCTATCTGTATATGTAGGGAGTTTTTTTTATCATCGGTACTTAATAATTATTGTATTTTGTCGAGTAGTATCATGCATTCCCAAATTGTAATCGTAAACCATAATAACGAGAGATCACATTGATATTTAGACTAATGTTATTCGTTTTATAAGATGTACTGGTAGTAGCTTATATATTATAGTATCTACTAGTTTCATAATCATGGGGAAGTAAATTAGGTTTTGTTTCTTCAAAAAAAAATCTGTAATGTTTAGTTATGTAATAATGTCTATCCAGCGACTGAGTCAGTCAGGACAACTTTGTAATATATGAATCCATCTAATTTTAACTTTTTGACTATACAATTTCATTATTTTGGGGCATTTATTCCTTAGCTCTCCTGACAATAAAGTTAATTGGTCAGATGTTTTAGTTAATAAAGATACTTGTACTTGAGTTTAGTTGGTGTAGTGGCGTGGGAGGCCGCCGTCGCCGCCGCACGAGGACGCATGGCGCGGCGCATTTATTAATCTCTCGTTTAGGAGTCTGCCTCGCCTAACTATTTTGGCGCTCCTAATGCGCTTTGTAAATATTTATGTCACACAATAATCGAAAAATGTAGTAATTAATGTATTTGTATCATTATATTTTTATTATTGATCACAACATGTATGTTTAATTATGGAATTACGTACGTTATGCTCAGACGGAAGGCCGGGGTCGCACTTACGCGGCCCGGCCTCGCTTTATGTAAAGAGCACTTTGCCTGTGAGCCAGTAGATAGTCCGGAGATATCATTAGCCGCCTAAGCGGCCCATTAGTGTATATTAAGATGCAAATTAAGAACGAATGTGCGTATTTAATTGGAAAAGATCTTAGGTACAATTGATATTTTATTATATTGTTAATTTAAATTTGGTATTGATATCGATCGAGAAGCAATGTTAGGAAGTGGGAAGAGCCGTGCGTGAGCGGCCAGAGTGCTGATAGTGATAAGTTTAGCCCATAAGCTATATGAACCTAAATTACTCAGTAATCACTATTGCAAGTTTCGAATTGTTAAATCGTCTCTCCATAGCACGGTATGTTCTGAATCTGCTTTTTTATAATCCTCAAATCTGTGATCATCGCTAAATGTGTAAGTGAAATATTTTAGTTGAAATCCCCCACATACAGTATGGTTGACATAATTTTACTATTAATTTTCGATGAATTCAAAATTGTATATTCAGTTATTATTGTGAAATAATATGGGAAATTTATAGTGGCGCCGATGCTTTATATATTTGAAAATGGAAATTGTTATTTATTAAATTGTCAGTAAGTTTTTAATTTATTAAACTGAAATCTGGATATTTTGTTTATACACAAAAATACCACTGTAAAATCCGTGATATACATCATATAATATTATAATTGGATTTTTATTTCAACTCTCCCTGTGTTACAAAAAAGATAATGAATGTTTTTAGTATGGAAGAATTGTCAAATATTCAAACTTATTTATTCCTCAGATAAAATCTGGTTTTGGAAAAATTCGGCCCATAGTAGAATAGGTACATACTATCAAAATCTATTTATTCTTCCTAAGCTTATTTCGGGGACAATTATCCGAGCGAATTATCTCGGAATAATATCCGATTCTGTATGGATGTGTGTTTGTCCATGATTTTTTTTCGTAATCATGAACCATTTTAGTTCCTGCCATATACAATATCATAATTTATATAACTACATAAATATTTACAACTTAAAATTAACTACAACTAAACTATTAAATAAAAAGAAAGTAAAAGAAAACAACAAAAATTATACCCTTAATTTAGGCGTCAAAGTATTCGTCCGCATCACTATCACAGGGGAAAGTTCCCAGAAGACTGGCAGCATTGCCACGTTGAATGGCAATGCTTATTTTCTGTCCGAAGAAAAAGCCAGCCCTCTGGTCACGTGTAGAGTCGATAAGCCTACGGGCGATGTCTTTAAACACAGAGTGTGCACTGGGACCCCATGGCCCAAGTGTTTCGACCCCAAACGGCTCAAAACAGTAGTTACCCACTAGATTTGAATATTTACGCCGTTTGAGGGCCTCTGCCGCGGAAGCAGCTGCACCAACGCATGCAGCGGTGCTTAAAAGATGTGATGGCGCAAGGGTGTCTACACACGTCGCGTCCCACACCAAAGGCCTACCCATCTTCCAAGGCAGCAACGACATACCATCTGGTCTTTTGCCGTCATCACGTACCAAACCATTAGGTTCTAATACGGCTGGTACACCGGCTGAGGCAAGAGCACGACGAATGATGTCGTTGATGCTGGCATGGCGAGCTATGCGGCCTGCACTTCTGCAACAAGAAAGACCATGGTGTCCCAAGCCATCGACTCTTTCTCCACAGTGACAATAATGCGGAGAAACACAAGGAGCACCTAAACGTAGGCATACAGCTAGGCGGAACGTTATGTCATCCAACATAGTACCTATGAAGGGTGACGGGAGTGCCTGAAGCCACAATCCTGATTCCCATTCTCCCACAGCCAATAAGCGAGCTCGCTCTGCAGTATTAGGAGACGAGTTGATTAAAGACTCACGAATAACACTGCACAGCGGCACGTCCCACTGTCTCTGAGAAGATGGGTGAACAGGTAAATCCGTAAGTGGGCAAGCCATTTTCCACGCTTCCACTGCATCAGTCAAACACGGCACCTCAAAATTGGTCAGTGACGAAGAAAGAATTTTCCTGACTAATTCAGAGGTACTGTGGACCGAAGACAGAAAAGCTGGTAAACTAATACTTGAAATTTTGCGGACGCCGAGCCCTCCCATGCGAATAGGAAGAGTAGCTTGTTGCCAAGCTCGGTCATCCAAAGCCACATTAAGTATGGATGACAATGTGTGTCTGATAATTTTGTCTACGTTTTCTAAAATGTGTGAATGTTTCCATAGATGTGAAGCGCGGAGAATATAAGTAAATTTTGGTCCAAAACAACAGTACCGAATTAGGGTGAAAGCCGAATGTGTGTTGATTTTGTGTAATCTATCCGAAATGTGATTGAAATTTTGTATCTTGTCCTCGATGAATTTAGGAAAACATTCATCGAATATTGGTGAACCTAGGAGGTGAAGTGAGTACTTATCAATAATTTTGATATTTGGAGCTATTTGATTAAATTTTGCTAGAGTCGTTAGTCTGTCTGTAGAGTCAGGAATGTATAGTTCACATGTATAGAATGTATAGTTCATAGCCATATACATAGTTCAGTTCCAGTTGCAAAACAAAAATAGCTGGCCAAGATGTCGGTTTTGTGGGCTACATGAGTTTCAATTATTCTCAAGATTTTCAATGTTATGCGCCTGGGCACCATGCTACTGTATAGTATGACTCATGGAGGTGCATAAAATGTCTCTGTCCATATGAAAATCGGAGAACCTAACGGGTTACATACAGGGGCTCCGGCTCGACGTGCTGGAACGGGGTGGTTTTTAGTAAGAGTCTGACACTAAGGGAAGTCATTCGATGATTTTCAGCCTTAAAAAAAATCCATATGAAAATCGTGTGCGTTACCCAGGCCAGATGTTGTCGAAAATGGTCATTTGATCTTATAGATAATTAGTTGTGCAGCTTCTGTAATTGTTGCGCACATTTTTAGTTGCGCTTATAGTTTTTTAATTATTTCACAAAAACATTTCTTGCTGGGGTAACGTTACTTCAGCCAGACCTGTTTCTTTCTAATGGGAATATTTAAATAAATACTATACTCGGAATTTTAATTCGATTCCAGATTTGACAATTTCAGTGTGGCAACGTTATGACAAGTACTAAATAGTGACGTTGCGAAATTATTCGATATGGAAATGCAATATTTCTGGATCGATTCTTCTCGTTTATAATAATTATAATTTTACTCTCGTGAACTAAGTATATCAGGAAATTAAATATTTCTGAACCGATAATTTAGTTTTGACGATTAATTAACGATCTGAAACGTTTCTTTTATAATTGTGTGTGAAATAAATAAAAAAATGTAATCATGAAGGAACATGACAAATAAAACAGATAGATGTATTATGGTAATAAGTTATTTTATAAATTGTCGCCGTCATCGCTATCGCTATCCTGTCACTTTCTGTAACATTTATTATAAAACACACACACTGATTGTTTATCGATTTTTGTGTGCATCACTACACTATTATATGTGGTATCATTATTTCATAAAATGACAGTAGCTATTGTCAAATCTGGAATCTAATTAAAATCCTGACTATAGCTATAAAATTTGTTGTCTAGATGAAGTAAATGTTGTCCCTTCTTTTGTATTTTTTCTTTCATCGGTTGCGAAGTTATTCGAGATTTTGCTGGGGTAACGTTTATGATTTTGCTAGATCTTTGAAATGGTTAAGCGGAATCTTATCATATTTGGTACATGGCTTCTTAATAATCAGTTCAAATCTGTTGTGCAATAAAAAAAACCAAAATAATAAATAGCTTAAAAGTTAATTCATTAAATAGAAAAACACTTAAATTAGTCCCAGCACTCTCAATAAGAGTTCTAAAGACTTACTAACGTTATTTAAAAGCTTGTAACTGCCTTCAAATGTATGTGAAGTTTCATTAGTATCCTGTAAGTATTTAACAAGTTATGATGATATTGAGTTCTTCACGAGCACGGTCTTGATGCGCGCGGTGTTATT